CAAGCGGATACCCAAAAATAACTATAGCTGATTCCGAAAAACAAGGAACTTGGTGTAATTACTGGTAAACTAGTGAGCTACTTGGTACAATGGCCAAAACTCGACCTGCATGTTACGGGACTCGTCGTCGACTCGCACTACTACTTAATGTAGTCAATAGACTTTTTTGTTTTTTAAATATACTGATAAATTGAGCTTGTTTTATCGTTGCGCACAAGTAGTTTTATTAGTAGCGCTTATCAAAGTCTAATACAAGTTGTTTTTGCGCAGTTCTTGTTCGTTGCTAGCCTGGTTGTCGAGCAAGCGTAACAAGACCACCGACGACGCCAAATAAATTGCCCCATCATCCTGTGTTTTGGTAGCCAATCCATCCCACTCCCAATTATCATACAACAATTATTACAAAGTTGACGTATAGTCTCCGTCAAGGAGCAATGGCTTGAAGCTGTGAAAAAAGAAAAAGACATGAAATGTCGGTGTTTAAAATGTATAAGTGATGCCGAGTGTAAGGAATAGGCGAGCTTCGGGGACCGATAAGAGAGAGTAAAAGCGGTGGCGTCGCATGAAAAAGAGGAGGCCGTGATCCATCATATCCATGAGAGTGCACTTTATGCGTAAAATGATTCGACAAAGTAGATGAGACCAAAGGCAAGGAAAGCGACAGCGCCACCAACAGTCACGACCTTCATGCTGACACGGCCAGCAATGGCCCGCCCTCCGATAACAGCGACACCGGTGCAGATGGCGTGGCCAAATGTAGCACCCAAAGTCACCCACCAATAGTCTTGGCCGGCGGCCATGGCAATCGTGGCAATCTGGCTGCGGTCGCCCCATTCGCCGAGAAATGTCATGACAAAGGTCTGCACCCAGACAGGGCTAATGAGCAAGCCACAGAGGTTGCTGGCACCGTACAGAAAGCCGTTCACCGAACCCGATTTTCGTGAAGGGTCGCGGGAGGGTGATTGGGACGGAGAGCGAGGAGGAGAGCCGAGGCGGGTCTTGGATCGTGAGCCACGGCCGTTGAGACCCATCTCGAGAGCATCAGCGGAAAGGGCGTCGTTGCCATCACGGCCAAACTCCTTTTCCTTGGCTGCAAGTTCCTGCTCAACTTCGTGCATTTCGGCGCCGACACCTTCGTGTGGATCCATCTGCATGCCCTCGCGCAAAAGCTTAGCACCAAAGACAAAGAAGAGGCCGGCGGCGAGGAGACTGGTAAGTCGCTTGGGAATGAGAGTAGGTACGGCGTGGCCGAGAATGGCGGAAAGAAACGTCATGACGAGCAAGGCGCCAAAGGCGGCAGAGAAGACGACCAATCTGTCGTGCTTCATGGCCATCAAGGCGGCGACGAGGAACGTCTTGTCACCAACTTCGGAAACGAGAATCATAGTGAGTGAGAGGACAAAAGAATGAAAGGGTTGAATGATGCCCTCGTCGCCGTCGGCGAGAGCCGTCTTCGGTGATTTTGTAGTAGTCGTGGTAGGGTTGTGAATTTCAAGATGGTCCTTGTCGACTGATTGTGGAACGGGAGGTTGTTCGCGCGTTCTTTCGCCAAGGTCGTCGGGTTTCTAGACACATTAGCATGCGAAAAGCAAGTATTTTATTTGACTTTGAACGCTCACGTCAAGTCCGGCATAGCCACCGTTGTCACCATCTCTGATGGCTTCCTTATCTAGTGGCTTGGTCTTGGGCCTTTCCTTGCCCTCGTTTAACTTTTCTTCTTCGCTGTGAGGTAGAGGGAGCTTCTCCTTGGGAGACTCTGGCTGGGTGACGAGCTTTTCTCCCGTCTTGCCTTCTTGCGCCTTGCGAGCCTTGTCTTTCTCAGAGACACCGCCTGTGGTGCCGGTAGTGCCCTCCTTGGCCTTTTCGCGGTTCTTGTCAAACATGATGCCGTCATTGGATTTGGGAATTCTCTTGCCATCGACAATGATGAGGTCTTCAGGACTGCCCTTGTTCTCTACGGTGGCAGCTGATGACTTGGTATCGGTGCTTCCCTTGCTAGTTGTGCCGTCTGTCTCGACAAAAGGGCCCTGGTGAGGCTTGCCATCGCGACCGTCGACAGGGGCGTCTTTGGTGGGCAGGCCGGTTCGACCTTTGGGCGCCGTGGCATCGTCACTGGCGACGAGAGCAGCAGCGTCATCGATGGCGGCGACAGAAGCAGCAGCTGAGGGGTCCTTGAGGGCGCCGACGAGTGCGGGCAGGGCCAGCAACAAAAGAGGCGACGAGTTGGGAGGGAAGCGCATCGCGTCGGGTGAGGCTGCGGACAGCGAGATCGACAAGTCGATCGCAGTGTGTTGATGCCAAATTTACTGTGCTTATTGCAGACTCTGTATCACGTCGTTGTTCGAAGTCGAGGCTTGCGTCTTCGGATGACAAAGAAGGTTGGGGTTGCCCGCAGTTGTGAGATGGAATCGTTGGGAGCCGCGTTTGCGTCTTTGCGCAACAAGGCGCAGCCAGGGACGGATGAGCTGTGGGGGTGCAGCAGTAAGTAATGAGTAGACTTGGAGGAACAAAGGTCGCTGAGATCCGAGAGAATAGATGGTGAGATGGGAAAACAACGGCCGTCGAAGGAGAGCAAGGATATGGAGGGATGAGGCAGGCAAAAGAAAGTTCGCGTGGAGGAACGGATCGATGATGGTGGTTTTTTTTTTCCAGGTCAGCGGAGCGTCAACCTTCTGGGGGAGTTAGCGCAGAACTGGCGTTGCAGGCTAAAAGGGGGCTGCAGGGCTGCTTCAGGGCAGCTTCAGGGGAAGGTAACAAGACTATGGATATTACAGGGGTGGTCTTAAGAGAAAGACGGGGAATGTTTCGAATTGCATGGATTGTTCTGCCTGTAGGAATGCAAATGGAAAAAATGCAGAAACTTTCTAAAAATACAGACATATCTAGGCACAGGAGAATGTGGAAAATGCAGGGTATACTTTGAGCAAATATAGGGGCTCCTCAGGGCTTTTTGCACTGCCGCGGCCCAGCAATTTAAGTGTGTGTTCCCTAAAGCCCACTGTAAATCCACCATCACCACCCAAGCAAAAGGTACTGGCTCGGGCCCTCTCGGGTTTTCCTGGCATGCAATGAACCCCCTTTTGCTCCCTCATCTACGGCAACGGGTGACAACTTTCGTCAAACACGGAACGTGAGATTCCTTTCAAATACTTCTAAGCCCATCCGAAATGTTTTCTACAATATCCATTGCTACCCTTGTCTCTTTTCCGTCGCTAGTCCCTGTCATACTCGCTCTGGCCTCATCGTGTGGAGCGCACTGATGTGTCCGACAAGCCGCACACCGACGCCACACCTGCAACCATGGGGCCGCGTCATGCCATTCGCCAGCGCACTGATGATAGTTGTTCGAGCCGCCATGGTTTGGGTTTGCGATTTCATCCCGAGCTGCCATTCCTGTCATGTTGAGTGGCGTACATCGTCCAGGGTCACGATTGCCGGCCCGCCTGCTCCGCTCCTCGCCGCACTCACCGTCGTGATATATATGAGCACGGCTCTAGATACTATTACTCAACAAAACGGGGATACAATCATTTGCAGTGACAATTGCAGCTGGTAGGTGGGGTTTTCTGCATCAACTTGTCGAGAGTTCATCTCATCCTGCTATTGCACTTTGGCGTAGAGCAGATTACCATCCCTTTTTCCGACTTCCCTTGCATGAATTGTAAGAATAAGGGCGTGTGTCGAAATGCCAAAAACGACGGATCTACACTCCTTATTAAGTAGCCGGTCGATCAAAACTGGGCTGCAGACCAGTTTCTCAAGCGCCGAATCTCTTCACGCTGACAGTAGCGCACACCGACATTCAACGACATATTGACAAAATTCAGGGATTACTGCCTGTTTCAATAGAAGCGTACTATCTCGACAATGTCTCGTGTGCAAATATACAAACGTCTGATCTAGCTCCTCGATGGGCCGCTAGCAGCTGCTGTAGCGGCCTGGGCCGCCATCGGCCGCAAAGCAACAAAGCAAAGTTGACTCGTCAATTTGTCAATTGGACTCTATGATAAGATATGCAGCTTCCATCTCCATTACACTCATTTACACATGGTTTGCGCAAGACATCTACCGGGGCCTGACCTGACGCTGCCGTTCGCTGGCCACATGTAGATCGTTACATCGGGCTGCCCTTCAACGTTGCTAAAACTAGCCTAGCAACATAGACATCCCCCAAGGACAGTAGCAATGGCAAGACAAACGTTCGAAAGACGGTAATTCACTGTCTTCTGACGTTAGTTTCTATTGCTGTGCGCGAAGCGCGGCTTTCGCATCATATATCACACTACCACGATTCGCTGCCCAGTCCACGCACGAATAGGCATCAGGTACTAGCACCGGTCCATGATTCGCCCTCGGACGCAGCGTGTTCAGAAAAGACATTTTGCGATTCAAATTCCTCGTCGCGCATTACAAGTATTCCTTTGGACTTACTAAATATCGCTTTGTCCCAGCCAGGCTCCCCTTAGTAGATACAACGACCATCATACTAGAGTCGGGAGAGTTGGAGTGGCCCGTACTCGTCAGACACTTTGCAAATTACATCAGCCTTTTATACATCATCTTTGAGCAATGTCATCGAACGCTGAAAAAGAACGCAATCCTAGTGGTTCTCAAAGCTCTTGGACCCCATTCCTCTAGCGGTCCTCCGGTAGTGTAACGCAGAGACGGTTTCGCCTCTGGTGGCCTTCGCGTCTTCGAAGCAACTTCTACTCCATCACACCGCTGGCATCGTATCCCGCGGCGAGGTGTGTCAGAGCCGGACGCGCCTCGTGAATCTGATCAAAAAGGTTGGTCCAGAGGCGCCTCTCACAATGATACCACCGCCGCTGAGTCCCGTCGCACTCTAGAAGTCGACTTTGCGCAAGAGTCTTGCGGCATCTGCACAAAAAGCTCATGACATTCAAATCGATGAAGCAATTTTGCAGCGGCAAGGCATCATGTATGTAGATGCCCGTACTGGGAAGAACCTAGCGACTACGAGTGTCTTTACGGTCAGGCCCCAAGACACGTCCCGCCGGTATCGTTGATGAGAGCGCACTAATTGTATAAAGAGGCAAAAAGAGATGATACATAATATATGCGTGTGTTATTGCCTGAGTATTTTGGCTGGTAGGTCCTGGGAACTTATGACGAAGCAGCGTTGCTGTGCCGAAGCTGCTGCCTTACAATTCCGCACAAATGTAAGGCGATGTTTGGAAGTATGGCTATCTGCAAGACATAGTCAATGTCTGAACATGACAGCCGCCAGTCCAGATGATGTTTTGAGCCGATAGCGACCGTTGAGTAGCCGCCATCACCGGTTCTCGACGTACACGGCTAGGCACGATGTGAGTCGTAGGCTTCTGCTGAACAACTCCGCGACTCGCGATACACTGGAGCAGACACTAGCCCGAGATTCAAGGAGTTGGTAGTTGGGTTGCTGATCATGTACGTATCTGCATCAGGTTGAAGCTGGGGTCGGACACGAGCCGGCCGGCTCCGCTGTGCCGGGTCTTTGAAGCGCTGGCAAGGATCGTCATCCGGTATTTATTGCTCCACCTCTGTAAGCCTACTGTGACAAGAGGATGTCAAGGCATAGTGACAGCCTCGTTAGATGCTTGCATATCCGAAGTGTTTGCCAGTCGGCCCATTTTCTTGCACCAGGGCCAGTTGAGCAAAAGCGCACAAGCCCGAATGAAGCTGGGCCAGCATTTACAGTCGTGACGGCATCGCTATCATCATTCTCTATGGCAGTATTTAGTGCTGCAAACGAGGCTGGATCCGATATCGCAGATACATACATGGAAACAAGTTTGCAGTCGAAAGCAAACTCATATTGATGCGCCAAGCAACCATTTCACAAGACGAGCTACTCGGGACGATGTACACGTGGCGTCAGTTATTTCACGGCATTGACAATGAAATAGAGCCTGACTCCCATACGGCGGGCGCTATTTGTCTCATCGATAATAAGATACTAACAGAAGCCTGCATTCATGCAGCCTTGATTGGCTTTCTGGTGAGGGGAAGCTGCAAAATGGCTCCGATATGGTGAGCCTCTAGGCACGAGTGGCAACTTTCTGTTACCCTCGTTTTCAAGAGAGGATCCGAGACCCTGCGTGATGTCGCCTACCGGAACAGCCAGAGATGCAGCAGATGCATGGTGCCCGTACAAGTATAAAAGATGTAGTTTCCCGCACTTTGAGCCATGGTCTTTAATCACGAGCAGAAACAAATAAACACACACAAGATGAAATTCTTCAGCTTGATCGCTGCCACCGCGATACTTCTCATGGTTCCTGCGGCGCTTGCTGCCAATGTGGTGGGTGACTCGTGTGACCCCAACGCCAACAAGGAGTACACATTTTGTGACGAAGCCAAAACCTTCGTCATACGCTGCAATCGCCCAACTCGCAAGTGGATTTGGACACACACTTGTACCGGGGGCGCGTGCTACCGAGCAGAGTCTGGCTACGCTCGCTGCAAATCTAGTGGTGAATGGTAGGGAAGATGAACCGTAAGCTATATGTCTGCATGCTGGCGAGTGTATATGCTGATTTCTTCAAGTCCTCATTCATTCATGTTGGATCATACGGGAAGACCTCTTCTACTGTAGAAACGTGTTTCTGCCTGGCATTTATGTTTGATATCATGTGCGGACTTATTGGATGGCCTTTGGCAACACACTGCATGTTCATATTCGGGCTTTCTTGATCGATTAAATACACAAATAAATCTATCAGATAATGCTAGACATCAGAAGCTGCATAGATTAGGTAACGGATGTCGTTGCTGATTAGCTCGAATATGTAGGAGACTGTATTCATCTACCAAGCCTCAGCGCCTAGAGACGCCATTCGATCTAGACTATGTCTGACTCCAGCAGAGCTACATCGGGTTTACGGAATACTGCGTTCAAATATTCAGTCATGAAGAATCCTTGTCAGTTGCATTACCAGCGTCCAGGCTGTGCTGGTGAGATGCGTGTCCAAGCCCAGGCGCGCCTTACAGCGGTGCAAGCGCTGAAGCCACGGCCTCTCCCAGCGGTCAAGTGCCCCGAAGAGCGCTAGAGGCGGTCGTTTGCCACCAAATTTTTTCACTGCAGGCGCTAACCGGAACCGAAACCATGGTCAGTGTTCACAGTGAAAAGGCCTGGAACTCGGCCGGAGCTTTAAGGCAAGGTCGTTATCTCCGCATGTCGTCACTCAGTCACGAACTGGTAACAAGGCCAGACTAAAGCCGACGAGCCACCGTGCTTCTTTCATCGTTGCTTGAACTTCTCAGAGCGACGCATCAGAGCTGCATTCTGCTCATATCATCATTATCAGGGACGTTTTGTTCCATTCGGTCTCTCGCAGCGCTTTTGCCACCAGTATCCCGGCTGCGGCAGGACACAGTTATAGCCCCCACCGCCATGGCCTCGCACCACCCAGGTCCGGAGCAGGCCTCGACCGGCGACCAGAATGCATCTGGGTCCGAGGGGGGTAATACCTGGTACTTTAGTGTCAACGACGATGTCGATGATGAGGAGGATGAGGATTATGAGGATGCCCCCGACGAGCAGGAAGAGAACGACTCGGAAGGTATGTCACCGCACAGATGCTCGTGGGATGTGTCGTATTCTCATACCCTCTCGACAGATGACCCCAGAAATACTCATTTCCAAGTCATTTTCGGCAACAATTATGACGAGGAGATTGATATTGACGACGAAGAGGATGACGAGGATGACGACGAGGAAGAAGTCGATGATGAAGAGGAAGACGCGCAACACACAGCTGCCGAGGAAGGCAACGCGTCTGCTCTTCGCATTCTAGGGCTATTACGAGGTATACATTCTCAATTATCGTCTCCTTTCATAATCCCGATCCAGAGCTGATCTAAACCAGCTGGCGCTCGAACTGGTCTCGTCACAAGAGCCCAAGTTTTGGCATTACTCAGAAACGGCCAACTCGGCCACGGCCTCATGGATGAGGACGATGAGGACGATCTCGAAAGCATCTTTGGTCAGTGGGGCAGACGCCGCCCTCGCCCAGCCAAAGATCCCAATCGTTTCCCCAAAGTGCCCAGCGATGAGGGCAGAAAACTGATGCAGTCCGGCACTTTTGGCTCCAGCAGCGAAGCCATCCGCCAGGGTACCGCCAAGAGAATAGCAAGACGCATGCTCGAGAGAGAACTCGGCATTGGTGACAAACGACAACGCATACGCAATCTTGACCTAATAGCACAAGTAAGGGTGGCAATTTTATACGTTCGACATCTTCGCTAACAAACGCCAGTCGCTCATCCCATCCACCAAAGTTGAGCAAATCATACATTACGATGACCCTATCTACTCGGGCCAATTTTCAGACGACGGCAACTTCTTCTTCTCCGTCTGCCAGGACTTCAGAGTCCGAATGTATGACACGTCGAATCCATACAGATGGAAACATTACAAGACGGTCCAGTACCCCGGCGGCCAGTGGACGCTGACCGACGCTTCGCTGAGCCCGGACAACAAATGGCTCGCCTACACCTCGATCGATAGTCTTGTATGTATCGCTCCCACAGATCCGTCCGATCGCGGCGACCCCTATGCCCTGAACCTGTCAGAGGGCGCCCGGCGCAACGGCGCAACTGGCTGGGGTATGCGTCGGGGCGGTTTCGGCATCTGGTCCATTCGATTTTCCGGCGATGGCAGAGAACTAGTCGCCGGCACAAATGCGCACTCACTGGTTGTTTACGATATCGAGTCCCGCCAAGTGCTTCATCATGTCGAAGGTCACGAGGATGACGTCAATGCCGTTTGCTTTGCTGATAAGTTGTCTCCCCATATTCTCTACTCGGGATCCGACGATGCCACAATCAAAGTTTGGGATCGAAGAAGCATGGGCGACGGCCGCGAGGTCGGCGCCTTTCTCGGCCACATTGAGGGCTTGACCTACATAGATAGCAAAGGCGACGGACGCTATATTCTAAGCAACGGAAAAGACCAGAGCATGAAACTTTGGGACCTGCGCATGGCCATGTCCACCGCCCGCTTCCACGAGATGGGCCGCACTCGCTACTCTCACTCCAGCGGCTTTGACTATAGAAACGAAATGTACGACGAGAGTGACTGGGATGTGCACCCCCACGACAACTCGTTGGTGACGTTTCGCGGCCATAAGGTGCTGCGCACCCTCATCCGATGCCACTTTTCGCCGCCGTCAGCCACCAATTCTCGCTACGTATACTCTGGTAGCGCCGACGGCAAGGTATACGTTTATAACATGGACGCTACCATTGCGCGCATCATCGATGTCAAGGAAGCCACCAGCGGCACGCGACGTCTTGACCGCCGCACCCGCTTATATTTTGATGAGCCGGGTGGCTGGAGTACCTGTGTTCGTGACGCTAGCTGGAACCCCAACGCGCCTGTCATAGTTGGTAAGCTCATAACAATTGAATGCCTGCTTTTCGTACACATTTCTGACATCATATAGCGTCGGCATGGAATGGCTATAGCATGGCTCGAGGCACATGTACGATACACTCTTTCAACGACGCTGATGAAGACGAGGGAGAGCCGCAGATGGGGCAGAGCGTGGATGACATGCTTCGAAGTAACCCCAGCTACTACCCATCGGAGTACTAAAGTGTATGAGTAGATAATGCGTGGAGTAAATTTGTTCGAATCAAAGTAAATAGATGCAAATATGTGCCAAAAAAGCCAAGAAGAAAATATTGACAATTGCATCGCCGTATCGCGCCGTACCTCAGTTAGGCGGATAATCAATGCTCCACCCGTGTGGCTCGTGCACCTGTCAACTAGCTAGGGAGCCTCAGCTTTGCTCAAGCTTTCAACTTTCATCAGATTTGCCAGAGCTGAGCCTGACAGATTCGAATCCAGACAACAGCGAAACATTGGCGTGGAACACGACCATCACTTACGGACGCAAATCTCACCCCGAAACGTTGTGCGCTCGACGCCCGATAACGCGACACCGCAAGCCGACCGGGACACGACAGGTGATTTTACCCGTATCGGCCCAACGGAAATTGACGACGCACGCTGCCCAACGGTCACGGAACGTTATAACAAGTTTGGTGGTGTCTGACAGGAGGCGTTGTTGTTTTTTTTTTTCCTTGTTCCCATCGGCTGGTCTATCCGACCGCACTATCTGTATCGAGCCCGCGTTTGCCTTGGCAAGAAAAGCTGCCATCAGGGCTGGAATCGATTGAGGCACAGAGCATCATCGTTTCGTGCGGCACCGAGGAGGTCTTGCCGTGTGTTACACTGTCCGCTTTTCATCTGAAATCTTCTTGGGACTGTACGTACTAGCATTGTTTCCAGTTATTCACTGTCATCCTCCCATGTTTTGCGGACGTCATTGCTTAGCCATCGGTTTTTACCTGCCCGTGGGGGTTGAATGGTGTTTACGACGGAGCGAGCCCAGGATGCCGCTGCTTTGTATCTCGAATACATTAATAACATTCTTTAACATTCTCTCTGCAGCTCTGGTTTCATAAACCTCAAGACGTTTGCGCCCAGCAGCGCTCTTTCAAGATGTCAGAGGAAGCTGATTTCGAAATCGACTTCTACGGGGACGAAGGCAATGATCAACAGGATCAAGGTCAAAAAAAGCAAGAACAGCAAAGTGAAGGGCAAACAGAACATCATGACAACAATAACCACGACGGACACAACGGCGGCAATCACGGTGGAGACGATGCGATGGAGGACGAGGGTAGCCAAAACTACGACGACCAAACATCGCAGCAAGGAACAAAGCGCAAGCAAGATGATGACGGAAGGCCGGTCGACTCGGCGGCCACGACTGCCATTATGATTTCCGAAGTGAATTGGTGGACTACTGATGACGATATTCGAGGATGGGCGCGGGGCGCAGAGGTCGAAAACGAGATTAAAGATCTCACTTTCAGCGAGCACAAGATCAACGGCAAGAGCAAGGGGTTAGTACGGGGTGTATCGTGCGCGGGTCGCTCTACTAACATGGACACAGACAAGTCTATGTCGAATTCAACACTCGTCAGGCAGCGACAGCAACCAAGCACCACTTGGACAAGCTCGTCTCGGAGGAAGCACAAGGCGCGCCGAAGAAGCTTACGGTTATGTACTGGAACCCCAACGTCAACCCTTTTAAAACTCTTCCGAAAGATGCGCCCGCCAGAGGTAAGGATCAGCAGTTAAGAGGGCCGCAGGGCGCATACAACAACGATCGCGGAGGCTTCGTCGGCAACTATCGCGGGCGTGGAAACTTTAACAATCGTGGAAATATGGGCCAAAACAACTACAACCGCAACTACAACAACGTGGGTTATAACAACATGGGCGGTGGCGGCTACAGCAACCCCATGGGTGCCGGCAACTTTAACAACTTTGGCAATCGAGGCGGCATGATGGGCGGTATGCGCGGCGGCGGCAACATGCGCGGCGGTCGTGGTGGAACTATGATGGGCATGAATCCTGGCATGGGCGCCATGAACCCGATGGGTATGCCGATGGGTATGATGAGCAACATGGGCAACATGGGCAACATGGGGAATATGGGGGCAATGGGCATGGGCATGATGAATCCCGGCATGCAAGGTATGAGCACTCAGTCTTTCGAGGCTTCCAACGACGCTATATGAGCGCTCGGCCGACATTTTCGCACTGCAATTACATTTCCTCCCTCACGGTCAAGCGGCCGTTACCCACATACGCACAGCAGAGGCAGAGCGTTTCACGAGTTCGAGCCCGGCGCGCTCTACTACAAGCGCATACCGGAACTGCAGTGCAGTCACAGTCTGTAGAGCAGCTGCAGTAGTAGTAGCTCAGACGGCGTGTACAATCGCACCGCGGCGCCCAACACACACTTCCCATCACAGCTCGAAACTATCGAGGACCAGTTCCGCTAACCAGCTTGTGTCAAGGCATGAACCCAGGTTTCAACCCCGGCAACTTTAACTTTGGACAAAACCAGGGTGGCGGAGGCGGTGGCAGTGGCGACTGGGGCAACCCTCACGGCGCCAAGCGGCCACGACCTGAGTAAGCCTGGTCCGGCGGTTTCGTCTGCGCGATGGGGTTTGGGAAGACTCGTTTTGGGATTGCGCTATTGATCAAATTGAAAAGACTTGAGGCGCACTGGCAGTGGCTAGTGAGGAAAACCGGGATAAACAGGGGAAACGGAGTTTTGTGATTTTATCTTTCTTTTTGATTCGGATGAGACAAAGTGTACAATAACAGCAAACGCAGCATCTCTCAAAGTGAACCCTGGCTAAAGAATATGTTTTTTTTATTGCAGTTCCATGTACAGTGTCCCTTTTCTTAGGGGGCAGCCAAGTTGTCAATGTATTTACATTGGTTCCTTCAGATAGGTCAATCCATTCTACGAAAAAAAAAACTACTGAGACTCTAATTTTTGCCTCATCCCGACAAGCAGCTCCATGATCTGCACCCACCGATCCCGCAGGGCTTGCCGCGACAGCGCCTCGCCCGCCGTCGCCTCGTCCACGTCCCTGATGTGCGCGGCCGCATCCTCCTCGGCCGGCCGCAGCACGACAGCCACCAGAGCGGCCTCGACCCGCGCCCGGTCCCTGTCCTCGTCGCGCTCGCCGTCGAGCACGGCGCGCCACTGCAGCGGCGTCAGACACAGCGCGCGCAGCGCCACATGGGTCCGGTAGCACGCCGTCTCTCGATCCAGCATGTACTGGCCCCAGAACCCGGCCTCCTCGAGCACCGTCCTGTGTCCCGCGGCGGCCAGCGCGGGACACAGGTACGGGTCGAGGCTGGTCTCGTCCCAGGCGTCGTTGAGCGGCGACGGCAGCGTGAAGCCGTACTCGACGAGCAAAAAGTCGTTGCCGTGCGGGCCGTACTGGATAAAGAGCTCGTCGCCGGGCGCGTGCGCGGCGCGCGTCGTCACGGTAAAGGCGGCGTCGTCAAAGGAGCCGACGCAAAAGGCGCCGCCGGGGGCGTCCCCCGCGTGGTTGAAGAGGTCGGCAACGGGCTGCAGAACCATGTGGTCCTCCTTGGGCCGCTTGGCCGTGAAACGCGTCGCGTGGTAAAAGGAGCGCGTGTTGACCAGCAGCCACGCGTACAGAAATTCGTCCTTGGTCAGCGCTGCGCTGTCGTAGGCCGCCGCCTCGACGCTCGCCCAGTCTCGGTGAAAGGCGGCGCTCTGCCGCGCGAGACGCGCAGAGGCCGAGGGCGGCAGCAGTGCGCGGAGCTCTGACGGCCAGCAGAGCGGTAGCGCGGCGCGAATGTCGGCGCGCGAGGGAAAGACGGCGCGCCAGGCGGCGAGGGAGGGAGAGGCGAGGTCGAGGCAGAGCGAGACGGCGAGGAGGGCGTGCACGCTGGCGCCGGGGAGGCGCGCGGTGATGGCGCGAGGCGTGTTGGCGAGGGAGCGTAGCGTGGCGGTGGGCACGCGTAAGATGACATGGTTGGCCTGGGAAAAATAGTGTGTGAAGGTGAGCATGGGTCTTTGAGTTGTGAGAGGTTGCCGAGAACGGCCGATGAAGGGTTTCTTACTTCTAGGGCACGGGTGGCGACGATGCCGACGCCGCGGCCGTGTAGCTGTTTTGGGGAGCAGCCGTTGATCTCGATGCCTTGCGACTTTGCCCAGACCAGCAGGTTTTCAATGTCAGCCTCCATTGGATCAATGTGGCGTATGATGTGTTGGTTTGTCAAATTTTTGTCATGGGCTTTTTCGAGGTGTGAGTCTCGAGCACGCCTTTCTGCTCTCATGAGTGGAACCGCAACTGAGTGAGTGAAGGACGCGGCAAAACCATCGAGTTGTCTGTGTGATGACACAAATGTGAGTGAATTAAAACAAGTAAATACAAAGGCGAAATATTTTCTGCGTATTTATCAGCATCTTTTCGAGCTTAAAAGTTAACTCAATCACTCACAGTACGATTTCTGATGAGTACTGGGTCAGGGTTAGGGTTGTGATTGTGGGATGGCCAGCCGTTGCAGACTGCGAGTTACTGCCCGCGATTGCAGTCATACCTGATGGGGACTTGCAAGAAAGATGTACTGTAATTCAGTGGGCTATGTTTCACTTGTTTGCCGCTGTGGAATATATTTCACTGCATGCGGGCAGCAGCTCGCTTTGCAGCTACCGTAGCTGCGTGGGTGGCTATTGCAGCCTTTCGGTACTTGAAGTAGACATATGTTGGTGTAATCACCACTTTTCAGTCGGCAACGACATGAAAAAGAACAGAAAATCTTTTCGTTTGTACAAATTCGTGGCCACATTATTGCTTTCGTCGAATTCTTTATTCCTTATTCTCCACGAATTGGTCTGTCCGTGTGGAGGCTTCCTAAATGTTCGATGAAAGATGTTTATACATACGTCTCGATGCACGATTCTTCATGTACAACAGAAAATGCTCGCATTTCTTCAGAGTCACAGGCATCTTGACTGTCACAAGAGACTAATCAGGAAGTACATGCAAGGAAGCGACCAAATCGGCAGTCGTCTTTGTTTGACCTGTCAAGGTTGTCCCCAATCGTGCATTGCTGCGGCTCTGTAGCCAGCCCCACCAAGAGTGGACTGACTTGGAAACAGCCTCGGGGCTTCTTCTTGACCACTTCAACCATTGCGTCAAACACCGGAGAGTCCTCACTCACATCGCCAAGGACACAATGACTTCCGTACAGCGTTTCCGACCTGTTGCCCGTCAGGCACTGCAGATCAGGACGTGCGCAGCATGCGGCGGCGTCTCGAGCCCGCGCGCCTTTTCCGTCTTGAACCGGCCGCCGCCCAACTACGAGGGCCATGTACCGCTGACCCGGATCGAGCGCGCCGGCCTCGCCCTCGGCTCCGGCGTCATGTCGCTCATCAACCCCTACCGCCACGGTACATCCATTCCCCTTTCCCTTGCCACCAACTCTATCCCTCCAGCCCTTTACCACTTAACCACCCCCCCCCCCCCTTTCTACCCGCCTAAATCACCCGCTGACTCGCAAAACACAACAAGACCTGATCGCAGCCCTCGGCGAGGCGACGGCCACGCCGTACTTCATCTACCGCCTCCGCGACGCCATGCTCGCCGACCCGACCGGCCGCCGGATCCTGCGCGACCGGCCGCGCATCTCCTCCAAGACGCTGTCCATGACGCGTCTCCGCGCGCTGGCGCCGGGCACCGTCGGCCGCGCCTACGTCGACTGGCTGGACCGCGAGCGCGTGACGCCCGACACGCGCTCGGCCGTGCGCTACATTGACGACGAGGAGTGCGCGTACGTGATGCAGCGCTACCGCGAGTGCCACGACTTTTACCACGCCGTCACCGGCCTGCCCGTCGTCAAGGAGGGCGAGGTGGCGCTCAAGGCGTTTGAGTTTGCCAACACGCTGCTGCCCATGACGGGGCTGAGCATGCTGGCCGTCGCGACCATGAAGAAGCAGGAGCGCGGCCGCTTCTGGAGCATCTACCTGCCGTGGGCGCTGCGCAACGGGCTGCGCAGTAACGAGGTCATCAACGTGTACTGGGAGGAGCAGCTGGAGCGCAGCGTGCAGGATTTGCGCGGCGAGCTCGGTATTGAGCAGCCGCCCGACCTAAGAGAGATGAGGGCCAGGGAGCGGGCGGAGCGCAAGAAGCTGGCAAAGCAGACTGCGTAGCTCGGTCGGATGCCTGGCGTTGTTTGCCTTTGTAACTATTGTAATAACAGCGTAGCACCACAGCGCTCATTTTGTACATTCACCATACCAAACCATGAACAAGTCATTAGTGCAAGGGCTCGGTGCAAGTCGTTTTAATTTCATACGCAAAGGCTTATAGGTATAGGTATAGTAGTATTCTGCTCGTATCTGCCGTTTCGAAACCCACACCGCGCAGCCGCCCGTTATAGGTCGAAAAGGTCGTCATCGTCGTCCCAGACTTTGCGCCGGCTCACCACAATCTTCTCCTCCTCCTTCTTGTCCGCAACCGCGCTCAGGAGCTCCTTGAGCTGCTCCTCCGTCACCTTTTGCCGCAGCTGGCCCGACTGCGCCAGCGCAATCAGCCGGTTCTCAATCTCGGTCGCGCGCTCCTCCTTGACGAGGCGGATGCGGCCCAGGCGGTCGGCGGCCTCGGGCTGCAAAATCTGGTTGAGGATGCTCTGACGGGCGTCGTCTTGCTGTCTGTGTGTTGCATTCTGTCAGCGGGGGAGAGGGGGGGGGGAGAGATGATCTCGCGGGCCATCGTGTTGTGGCCTGCTGGAACGCGTGTGGGATGGGAACTTACTGCCGCTTTTGTTCCTGGTCTTGTGCGCCGCCGCCGCCACCACCTTGACGGCTGCCACCAGCACCGCCGCCCTGGGCTTTGAGCTGCTCGAGGCGAGCCTTGCGAATCTAAGCCGCGTGTGAGAGTCTTGAGATGATGGAAAAGGTGTGCGGATATTTACCTGTTCAAGCTCGGAATCGTCCATTGCGACAACGTTTTGTGCAAACGGGCAAGACAGCCCCCGCGGCGGGGCAGAATAGTAAATAATAGCTGCAAGATTAGAGGGGCATTCAGTGACTTACATAATGAGATGTCACGAAACCATTGGATTGAAGCATGTAAAAATCAGATAATATAAATAGCATGAGTGAATATTTTTTCATGAAGATTTCATTTAATGCTTTTCTAGCAAGGTATTATCAATTGCAGGTCTTCAAGGGTCTGTCCCTTGACCAGTGCATATTATCAGACGTTAGAAAAGACGGCGAGCACTGACTGGTGGAATCAGGTTCATAGGCTGGGAGCACGCTCCTGCGTAAAACAAAAAAGAAAGGTCAATATATTTAGTGTTGTTTTGCTGGCTAATTTAAGAAACAATCTAACTTGTAGCAATCAATGATTCCTGAAGTGTGCACCGGCTTGCCTGTAAAGCTTGGTTCATGTACATCGGCTGCGCCACCTATCGCAGCCACTGTTGGCTTTATTAGGTTGCCCTCCTGTTTTTATGACTCTCATCTTTCACCAAAAATCATGCCCTGCGCCGCGACAATGGCCACTTTCCTTGCGCAGTTTCATAACGGCAAACTCTGCCGTCAGGAATTTTCCGGTTGTCTGGGATGGCCACTGCCCAGCGCCTCGTCAGCGACTTGGATGGGCACGTACTCACAAGCCATGCAGCCACAGAGCCTCATCAACGTCATGGCCTAACTATGGCTGTGTCCTGTCGGCGAATGCCCCATCTGGCCAGAGATCTACGCAACGATTGAACCTTGTCGGTGCCCGAGTTGCAACGGTTTTCTCACAGCAGTTGGGCGAAATGGATCCGTGTAAGCACGCATGCAACTAATACGTCATACGATTGACTTTGGTATAAGTATGGCCGCCAAGGTGCGATGAGCTGGGCGGCAGTGAGCTCAATCATCCCAGCAAAGACTGGTGTCCCAGAACATCTCTACGAGCCAACCCCCAGAGCAGAGTTCACCATGCGTCTCTCTTACGTGCTTTCTGCCATTGCTGCCCTATGCAGCAGCGTGGCTCTCGCCGACTTCACCACGCCCACGTACCCGACGCCGGCTGATCTGAGCAGCAACCACAGCCTGGTCCACGCCGGCTGGAAGAACCTCACCTCGACCTGGGACCGGCATCTGCAGGGCAAGCTCAATGTTTCGGCGGCCGCTGCGTTTGCGGGCGTCGAAAACGTCACCTTTTCCGTGGGCTTGTTTTCGCTCAACGACCCTTTGGCTCTGAAGCTGCAGTATCACTACACGGCGCCCGAGGTCAAGACGGCGCTCGTCGGTACGCGGAAAGTGGACGAGGATAGCATCTACCGCGTCGCGTCCGTGTCCAAGCTCATCACAACTTTTGCCGGCTTGCTGGAGCTGGATGACAAGGACTGGCACCGGCCTCTCGCGCAGATCAACCCTGCTTTCAAGCGGCAGAGGAAAAACGCAACGGCTGTGGACGTCATCAAGACGATAGAATGGGACAAGATTACTCCTTGGGCACTGGCTTCGCAGCTTAGTGGCTTACCGACGGTGAGCTTTTGCGTCCACCTGGCCGTGAATTGCGTCGACAGCTAGCTGACCTTTTTGACACAGTTGGGCTTCCTCGGCGACAGCTACAATAAATCACTAGCATCAGCAATGGGCGGCCCGGTCGTCAATACCAGCACGCTCGGGGCCTGCGTCGCCAAGCTGTACAATGACCCTTCCAGCTTGGACTGCTCGACCGCCGAAATCATCTCCTCCCTCAGGGACCTACCGCCCAACTTTTTGCCCTGGAGCACGCCCGTCTATTCGGACCTGAATTTCATGCTGCTCGGCCTCGCCATCTCCGACCTCACCAACAAGTCCATTGCCGACGTGTACCGCTCCTCCGTCTTCACGCCGCTCAACATGTCGTCGTCGAGCACCAAGAGCCAGAACGCGACGCTGCCGCGCGAGGTCGTCGTCGGCGCGCCCGCGGCCTACCTCGCGCTCGACGCCTTTCCCTCCACGGTGCCGGCCGGCGGCGTCCTGTCGAGCCTGGGCGACCTGCAGCGCCTCGGCCTCGGCATCCTCAACAACACGCTGCTGCCTGCCGAGGCCACGCGCCGCTGGATGAAGCCCGTGTCGCACACCCCGAGCCTCAGCTACTCCATCGGCGCCCCCTGGGAGATTTACCGCTTCGTGCACCCCGGCACGGGCCGCGTCACCGATATATACACCAAGCTGGGCGACGCCGGCAACCACGGTGCTGCGCTGGCCCTGATTCCGCAGTACGATGCCGGGTTCGCGTTCCTCAACGCAGCGAGCGCCGAAGCGGCCCCGCTGCGCTCCGACATTGCCCTCGGCATCCTCGACGCCGTCACCGCGACGGTCCTGCCGGCGCTCGAGGCGGAAGCGCTCGCCGAAGCCCGGCGCAATTTCATCGGCGAGTACAAGACTTTGGCGGGCGGCAAGGTTGCTGCGTCGCTGACGGTTGGCTTCAGCGCGTCGACGGACCCCACCGACGTGCACTCGGGGTTGGTCATTACCGAGTGGACGTACAATGGCACCGACATCCTCAAAGTCTGGTTCGGCAGCGATAGGCCGCGGCTTGAGCAGTCCATTGTGCGTCGCGGCGAGGATGGGAAACCGCGGCAGGTGGCGTTTATCGCGTCCACCTACCACCAGACGCCGACGTACGAGGCGGCCGGCACGACGGGGCCCTGGACGGGCTTCTATCACTCCAACGGCGACTTTGTCTACACGGACCAGCAGCGCTGGGCGGGCCAGCCGGTGCGCGAGCTCGTGTTTGAGCTGGACGGCAAGAGCGCGGCCGTCAAGTGCACGCCTTTGTACCAAGGGATTGAGTTGATCAAAGCAAAAAAATGAACTAGTTGAATAAATGCATGTATAACAGAGAACCCAGTTGACATTTTATGCATAGTTGAATCTGAATAAAACATCAATGTTGTTGGCAGCTTGAACCACGCTGCAAATTGCCGAAATATGCATGTATAACAAGTTAATCATCATCTTGTAAAGCCAAAGAAACATGTATATATGGCTAGGTGCCAAAGTATGCAACTAGCCAGGTTGTTTATAATCTTGTACAGCCAAAAAAAAGAAAAGATGTATATAGTTGTACAGTCTAGTAGCTAGACGTCGATGTATGTTGATCCTCCATCTCTGGCGTCACCGACGTCTCCTCAATGCGGATATATGACTCGCGCTCCTGGGCCTGGATCGCATTCTTGGCCTTTACCAGATCCCACATCATCTTGTTGGTCGGCACCTTGACGCCCAGCGCGTGCGCGCGGCGTAAAAAGTACCCATTCAGGTAGTCCACGTTGACGGGGTGGCCCAGGCGAATGTCGCGCACCAGCCTGCTCTCGCGGCTGCGGTGGTGCAGGATGCGGCGGTACAGTGCCTTTTTCGCGCGGTCCACGTCGAGCAGCTCGTGCAGCGTCTCGCCGCGCCCAACCTCGGGCATGAGCCGCAGCACCGAGACTATCTCCTCGAGCAGGCTGCTGATGAGCTTGCGCGCGCTTGCGTTTTGCAGCAGGCCCGCGTACGGCACGTCGAGGAGCAGGCACACGGGCTCGACGGCCGAGTCGAAGATGACGCCCGGTAGCTTGTAGCGGAACCAGCTGTCAAAGGGCGTGTATTCGGTGTGGAGGAGCTTGGCCGCCTGCAGCGATCTGACAAAGTTGGTCTGCGTCTCGATCTTGGGCTGCTCCGTCGTTGACATGACGGCGCTTCGCTGCACCGAGGTGATGTTCCAGACACCGTGGCGTAGTTGTCGAACCGAGTCAAAGTTTCTGTTGAAGACGAATTTGGAGCTCATGCTGCCCAGCAAGAATGTCGGCTCCTTTTCTGGTACGGCGAATATTTTTTGCCGAACGTCGTCCAGGACGCCAAGGCCCTCCGTCATGAGACAGACTGTTGTGTCTTTATCCACCCGATGCTTGACTGCGTCTAGGGCCTCGAGGGCGCCCTGGGCGGATTCGCTCGACACGACCAGCTCATCAATGTGTGTATCCTCCCTGCTGGCGAGGTTTTGCCGCCCGACGCTGAGCGGCTCAAAAGTGGCCGTGCCGTCCTTGTCGAACCGCTGAAGATATCGATATTTGTTCGAGGGGCGTGTCCACGCGAGTCGCTCAACCGAAGCGTAGACGCCAGAGAGTGCATGTGCGATAAACTTTGATCGCGCGTCCTCGCCGAGGATGTGAATTTTATGAACAGTGGGCGAATTTGACGCCTCGGGCGACAGCTTGACCGACGGTACGTATAATGACTGTCCATCCCCTTTTCGTATTACCGCCGGCTCGACCAATCCAGATGTCGCGGCTCTGTGTTGCTTCGGCCGCCACGGTGACTCGGGATCGCCGCGAGAGCTTTGCGTGTCCGTGCCGGCGCCCGTCACGGTACCGTAGCACCGCGAGGCCCTGGCAACGAAGCATTGACTATCTCGCGTACATGATATTTGTCTGTGCAAGTCCTTTACGGACACCCGAGGGCGAGGTAAACGAGCCACTTTGAGGATTTAGAGCCACGTGCAAGACGAGCTCGTGGCTGAGAGAGGGTGGAGGAGGGACTAGAGGCGAATAGCTAGATGCAGCAATTATTCAAATTGCATTCGATTCGGCGATTAGAATACCGTAGCAGTGCGAAATGGGCGAGGGTTGCGTCGTGTGTGGGTTGTGACAATGTGCTTCGATGACGGCGACACGGGAGTTTTTCGGCGGCGAATGAAGGGTGTTTTGAATGGTCAGCATTGAGCAGCACCAGATTAGCCGGGGGGTGCATCTTTGGCGGGTGGGATGCGGCTCCCCGCTAAGCGCATAACTCGGCCAAGTGCACTGAAAAGTCGACCAAGAGCGAACCGAAGAAGCTTGAACGAGCCAGCGACGACGGTTGCACACAGGGCATCGGATCGGAGAACTATTAAAATTCATCTGTAATTCTCGACTAGCCAATTCACCATGGCAGACGTCAAAGACATCACACGCGATCTCGACAAGCTGGATTCGCAGCTGGACAACTTGGAGGAAGCGCTCGCGCCACTGCTCGGCAACATGGACGAGATTTCATCACAGCTGCCGCTGCTGGACAAGGCGAAGCTCTTTTCTCTAGCCGCTTACTCGATAGAATCGCTGCTATTCTGTAAGTCTATGTTAATGTCCCCTCCGCATCATCTCAGCACGCCATATACTCATGACTTGTCTTTCTCAGCCGCACTCAAGCTGCAAGGCGCAGATGCGCAGGAGCACGCTGTATATGCAGAGCTCAAGCGCGTGCAGCAATATTTTGGCAAAATCAAGGCCATTGAAGAGCCTGTGGGCCAGCGGACCACAACAGTGAATCAAGAAGCCGCGGCGCGTTTCCTCAAGGCAGATCTTGTAAGTTTCTTTGATACCCCCCAGATTATTCTTTGCGTTTTTCATCAACACGACTGATCATTTTTCTCTTAAAGAGCGACAACAAGGCAATTAGCGCCAGACTGGCCGAAAAGATTGCCGAAGAGCGCGCCAAGGCGCTGCTGAAATCTGTCGAGGGACGAAAGCGGCCGGTGGATGATTCGGCGACTAGCTCGGCTGACAATGGCAAGGGCGTCAAAAAGTCAAAGCACAAGGGCAAGGCCAGGAGCAGGAGATGAAGTCGCAAGGGAAGAGAGCGTGCGCATCAAAAATTGCAGCGTTGTCGCTACCTAGCTGCAGTGTGCTTGGGCTGCCAATATGTGCGGCAGTGTTTTACGTGGCAATCTCGCAGGTGTTTCGGAATGTATACATGGCACGGCGTTTGGGTTTTAGGATATGGGTAACTGGATCATGTGTAACTGGATCATAATTTCTGCTTATTGGTTCAAAAGAAAATTCGTGATGAGAACGTGCTCTAGACTTTTAACTGTTCAGAGTTTCACTGGCTACAGCACGGCTAGCTATGTACTCTCCTAACCGAGTTTGAACAGACAAGGGGCTGTAGGAGAGATCTACTTGCCGACGGCACTTGAACGTTGATGAGGCAGTGAGGCGGACCAATCCACAGTTGTCTGTTTGTGCAACGTGACGGCGCCCAATCGGCACTTGCCATACGCCTAACAAGTCTTCTAGAACATGTCGATCATGGCCTTCTGTAGCTTCCTTTTTTTCATTGGCTCCATTCAGCATCGTGTCGTTGGTTTTCTGCACGTGCCACTCAACGCTTTGATAAAACGCCGTACAATTGTTGAGAAGCAGGGTGACTGCGTGGTGCTGTCATGAAATGTATGGCCCTAAGAGAAGGACGATAGCCTCACTGGCATGATAGTCTTGTAAGACAATGTGCAACAGATGAGCCAATCACAGCGCAGAGTCTGGCATCTTTCGTGCCTTCAACACGGACGTGCCATTGTGTGCCGTCACTATACAGATATTGGCGTGTTGCACAGGCATCGTCTTGTTGCCCAACGTAGAGGTTGTCGTGCATACAAATAGAGCAGCAGCATGGCACCATTGCTGCCAGTCTATTCCCAGGTCAATGAACCAGCCTTTTGTCAAATTCTTACCCTTTAGCAAGAAAAAAGCCGCCACTTTCTTGTAAGCCGTCAAACTTTCCGAAAGCACCGTATACTTTTGGCACTTGTTAACCCAAGCATTGCGGAAAAAAGGTTTCCTGTTCCCCCGTGGTCAGCCTCCTTTCCATGCATCCACCACCGCAGTTTCCTCCGTGGCCAGCGGCGCAAATCACCATAAACCAGATCACTGATTCGATCCGCACGTGGGCGGCGCTGTTTGTGGAACCGTACGGGTATTGCGTCTGCGGGCAGTACACCTTTCACGGCATCTGCGGCCACATTGTCCACGAGGAGCTGCTGCTGTGCGGCGCCACGACGACGGCCTCGGGCATGGTCAGGTGCTGCCATATCTTGACGCCCGAGTACCTCTGCCAGGGGTACATTGTCAAGATGATTTGCGAGACGTGCTTCGACGACGCGTGATGGACGACACGGTCGAGGGGCGGCGAAAAGCGGAGGGACTGGGGGCGCTCTGGCAGGTTATTACTGTACCTCGACAATTTCTTTTTGGTGACAAAGCATAAGAAGCGGCGGGTGTTGATTGAGAGGGCTTTCTTTGAGAATCTTGTGCCTCATGACAGCTCGTGTTCAATAAAAACGTATAGGCTAACCTGTTGGTTTGCCCGCTTGATTCTTTCAGTTGCTTGAGACGGAGGCAGCTGTTGTGCCACGGTAGTCACTGCTGCAGATGGTCATTGGCGAGGTTCCAAAGTCGCATGGCAAATAGGTCCTCGTCAAATAATTTCATAATTCGATCAGTAATCGATTCCTGTCCATCGATGTGTCGTGTTAAAAAAGTTGCCGTCGGAAATAATGCTGCAGTAACCTTTGTAAGTTGTCGCTCAGCCCAGTGGGCCAGCTCTCATACCTGATTGGCCACTCCTCGCCACCAACCGGTCTTTGCGGATTACCATTCCCCGACCTTCCATTTCTCCATTTTCCCCCATCATCAGGAAACACCTATTTCATTGTCCGGTTTACAGCAACCTCCACGCCTCTCTTGCAACAAGCGACTCACAAATCCTTTACCAAAAATCTCACACGATGCCTCGTCAACGCTCCTCCGCCCGCGCTCCCGCCCGCGCCCCGACGCGTCCAACCGCCGCCGCCCCTACGCCCGCGCCGCAGCAGGCTCGTCCGGCTACGACCATGGCAGCGCCGCCTCAGCAGTACCAGCAGGCTCCTGCGCAGTCGCAAGGCCCTGGTCTGTTTGGCCAGATGGCCAGCACCGCTGCGTAAGTGTTTTACCCCCCCGTCGAAGCCGGGGCTTTCTTGTTTTTTGCTACAAAGAGCGGATTGAAGGATCAGAGCTGCCATCCCCCCTCATTCTCTCCGCAAAACGCGCCACAGCTTCAAGCCTTTGTTCTCGGAGGACTCAAGACTGACAACTTTCACAGCGGTGTCGCGATTGGTTCCTCGGTCGGCCACGCCCTCGGCGGCTTGTTCGGCGGTGGCGGCTCGTCGGAACCCGCCCCTCAGCAGGTCCAGGCCCAGCAGCAGCAGCCTCAGCAGCAGCAGATGAACAACTGCGCCGGCGTCGCCACAAACTTCACCAAGTGCATGGACGACAATGGTGGCAACATGCAAATTTGCAACTGGTACCTTGAACAGCTCAAGGCCTGCCAGGCCGCCGCCGCCCCGTACTAGACGTCTGCGATCGGTGAGCTAGCGAACGGGTTATGAAGGAGAACCGGCCGTTTTTTCAGCTGAATAGAAAGCGAGCATGAAGCGACACACGATATACTCAGATCGGTTGATTTACAAAAGGGGAAAAGCGAGAAAGGAAAGAAGAAGGAAGGGGGACTGCAGTATGGAGTCCAAGTGACATGTGGCAACAGGCCGTTTGCTCCAACGTGGTCAATGTACAATAAAACTCGGCATATGCTTGGCATTGTTTTCTCCGTTGACAAATGTGTATAATTTTCTCAAGTAGTCCGCTCCATCTGAAATACAATCTGCAGAATCCTGAGCATGGATTCTCACTTCTCATCTTCATCTGGCCTAGGCTCGAAATTCAACTTCGACACGTTAGAGATAAATCATCACCGTATAATTAAATGTACTTACCGAGTTGCCATTGTACAGTTGCTGATCGCCGCGTCTATCATTTGGATTCTGGAAGGCTTGTACACGCTGGTTTCGTAGAGCCGCCGGCGAGTTGACTGGTTGCTGGCTCGGGGCTTGCTCTCCTGGCGGGGGCGCCGCGCCGCCCAGGCCAATGAGACCCTGAAGCCAGGTGAAAACACCGAAAAGCAGGACCATCATCTGGTTAAAGAAGCCTTGCGAGGGGCACTGTGCCTCGTATGCCGCGGCGAATCGCTGAATCGGAATCAGCAGAAGCGTAGACGACGGAGAGAGCCCAAGCTCGCGAAGTGATTTATCTTCTTCGGTGGTGTCAATATTCTTGTTCGGAAGCGGTGTGAGAATCTGCTTGAAGTAGTACGGGCCCTGGCCATCAGAGCGCTCTTTGTCGACCCAGGTTCGGATATCCTTGATGCTCTCGGTGGCCGGAAACTTGTTTCTGAGCGTGGAGCCGTCCGACAGTCGCACTTGGATCGCGGCGAGGGCGCTGGGGCTGCTTGAACTTGAGCGAGACACAACTCTGGCTTGCTGCTTTTGGGCGTCTGATTCCACGGCGGCGGCACGGCCCTCTTCCCTTTGCTTCTTGCGATGGGCGGCGAGTTCGCGGCGAGCTGCCTTGTCATCCTCAATTCGTTTTAGAATCCTGCGACGCTCATCGTTTTGCTGAGCCCTATTCTTCCTGATCAGCTCGGCCGCCTCTTTCTGAGCGGCAGTTTGGGATGACGGCGCCGGCTCCGAGTTTGCCACAGCTTTTCCTTTGCCCTTGGCAGCAGTGGCGGCGGCGGCAGCGTCGGCTTCCTTGACTTGACGCGCGGCAGCATCCTTTTGCGCTTTAGCCGCCCTCTCGGCAAGAATGCGTCGGACATTCTCGGAACCGTCTGACTCTGGACTTCCGGAAGTAATTGGAGATGATGAGGGTGCTGTGGCCTCGACGTCGGGCGTCGGGGCTGCGGCGGCGGTAGCGGCACCAGCAGCGGCTGTGGAGGCTGCGGGCGTAGGCGCCGCGACGTTGCCAGTGGAGAAGGCGTTGGCTAGTCGTCGGAGAAAGTCTTCCTTGGTTGTGCCAGAGGCAATGTATTCCTTGAGTTCACCATGCTTCATGACGACAATGGTGGGTGTCTTGGGCAGTGGAAAGATTTGAGCCAGATAGCCAGCCTCGTCAGAGCCTGCTTTGAGACGCAGCGCGACGGCCTTGGTGGTGATTAGGCCATTGATCTGTGCTGGGTTAATAAATGCAGAAATTTGCCACCTTGTACGGGGACATACAGCTTGATCTTGGAGGTATTCAGTCTCCCATGTTTGGCTCTCGTCGTTGCCATCTGCGGTTTGTTAGACTTGCGTCACATGGCGACTGCCTGATTCTCAGTGAGCATCTCATACCGGTTACGAAGCACAGCAACAGCTTCTGCTGGTCGACCGCCGACGATATGCCTTGCTGAATTGAGCCCTGGAAGAACATGGTGATGTGCGAATCTACAGATGGCGAGGCACAATGCCGGTGCGAGTACGCTGCGCAAGACCTGCTCGGCAAGGTGACAGGTGGCGTGCTGGCTGTGAAAGGGTAACGGCGGGGTAGCGTGTTCGGGGCGATTTGAAATGGTCAAATGAAAAGCGATGAATTGATTTAATGCAATGTAGCTATCATCCCGGGGCGCTGCAGAACCTTGTTGGTAGGACAAGATGCAATCTCGGGCGAGGATGGAAAGGCACGGAAACAGCTTGGAGCTTGTTCGCCATCTGGACCAAATGGCACAAGCCACAGTAGCGCCACGCCACCACGCCTGTGATGTAAAGATATGGAGTCGAGGGCAATGCAGTTGCTGCCACGTCGATCGCCTCGATATCATGAAGTATTCCCCAGATTTTCTTGAATCTACTGTCACATCATGTATTGCTTTTTTTTTCCTTTTTTTTCCAGAGTATCGTTGTCCGTCTCTATCTGGAGTTCTAGTTCCTGTAAGAACAGGTTGCGCAATGCTCCACACAAGCTTTGCCCAAGCCACAAACAGGGTCATTGCGTACAACCCCTCTCGCTTCGACAATACAAGCACGCGTTTGAGTCTGCTTTTAAACTCAGGCTGCTATCAAAATGAGGCTGATTCTTCTGTTTCTCAGTTGGGCCCTCGTCTTTCATTATTTTCTCCTGCATAAATAAGCCCCTTCCCTGTGACGAGAGCCGAGAGCCAGCCGCAAGCTGCTCCGCTACCTAATACTAAGCTCTCCACCATCCTTCTCCAACGGCGCGGCGCGGCATCTTTTATTACTCCGCCACTTGACGCGAGTCGGGTTGATGACGAGAAGCTTCTGCTCGCGCCGCCTCGAACGGCCCTTGATCCGTGCAATCCTGCGAGCGTGAGCATACTCAGCCGAGCCAGCCGCGCCTGCCGCGCTCTTCTCCGACGGCATATCCATTGCTAAGGGACGTGCACACCGATTTCGTCTTGAGCAGGCGGCCTATTTCCAAAAAGCATAACCGTTCAGGCGCCGGCCTCGAGAGCGCTGGGCTTACGGAAGGAAGCTTGCTGTCTATATGCGCATTGTGCGGTGTTGAGGGGCCAGCGAAGGTATGATGCAAATCTGTCCTACGTGCTGTGCTTCAGGGGGGCCATCGATGAACGGTTGGGGGCGCTGTGGACAAGACCTCTCAAAGCCGTTTCTGTCGGCCAAATTTGCTGTTCTTGACGGCACTCGCTCCTTGCGGCCGCCAACTTTGCTTTGACCGTCAAGTGATACAACGGCATCACCTCTGACGGAGCAAGAAGCCACGAACCCCTGTTGTGCACCCTCAGAAGCTCTGATGCTGGCATACACAATGCATCCGGGCCGGCTGAGGCCTGTTTGCCCCGAGCGTCTTCTTTTATGCGTGGTGTGCTGCTGCTTGCGCCAAGTAACGCCGACGTATAAAAGAAAGACGCTCGGGACAGATAGAGGTGGACGGAAGGCGGTGCGACGTGCAGCACAAAGGTAGCCCTTGCGTGCGAGTGTTGAGCTTTATCTAGCAGTTGACTATATAGTTTTTGCTTTGCTACTTTACTGCTCTACTACACCAGCCTCCTACAACTATTCGTCAATGTGTTTTGGCGACCCCTCTTTGCACAACCATCCGTACGAAAATGAGTATTTAGCGTAGTTTTGCTAACAAAGTAATCTTGTATTTCCCACTAGGCGCTCAAGTCGTAAAGCTTTGTAGCGCGTCCGTGAAGAAATGACCACAAGTCTACGGAGTACTATAATTCAATCTAGCCGCTCGCTAGGGCCAATTGTAGAGCCTCATTAGCCTCTCAGCGGGAATACTGTGTTATCCGCGCAGGTTACCATTCAACCCGATGTAACATTGGCACATGACTCCACGATGTCATGCTATTGTTGAAGGGAGAGACTTTTTTATCCCTGAGTCTTGCGCAGTTTCCCCGTCACAACTTTACTTTACAAGCCTGCCTATTACAACATTTCCTTTTGATCCCTCTCCAGAGTTATGTATTGTCTGCCAAAAAAGCGGCCAGCCTTTGCAGCCTCCTCGTCTTGCTCGTTTACAAACATACTACGCAGCCCAATCTCGAACGCGCCAGGGACAACCGCATCTACCGCCGTGTATTTAATGAGTGCTGCTGGCTCTCCCTGATTCAATACTGCTGTATCCCTTGCCAGACTATACAGAGGCTATTCACAATGTCATCTACCTCTGACGGCGATGATCAGGGATGGAGACAAAATGCGCTCTCGTTGTTTCGCAATGAAACAGCAGCCGCCGTTCTCTACATGCTCGCGCTCCTCGGCGGCCTCGCAGTCTGTTACTTCGTCTTCGCCGCCAAGCTGCAGTTCCCTAGCCGACGCCGAGCAGCATGGCTGAAAGCGTCGGCCACTTCTCTCATCCTGTAAGTGAACCGCGCCGCATACTCAATTACCGTGGGTGGGGAGGGCGTCGTAAAGCTAACAAAACCCCCCGTGTCACAAAAAAAAAGGCATTGCCTCATGGGAGCATGCTCATCTGTAATCTGGGCGCTGCTGCATCGCACGCAAGCACAAGTCGACGAGCGTGGTCGCGCTGCCACATCCCAGACTAAGAGAACGCAGCAAAGTGCTGGCATTTACACGGATGCCATCAGCTCTTGGTTTCACTATACTACGCAGACGCTGCTCTTCATCACGGTTGTCGCCACGTGCGCGTCCATGTCGACGGCGAGGCGAAGCGGGAAAGCGCCCGAAATGTGCTTGACGGCGGCCTACATGCTCGGAATCTTGGTCGCCGCACTCGCCAGCGTCGTTGTCGCGCTCGAAATTACTCGCTACCACTTTGCTACTCATCGCGTCGGCAGAGTCAAGGCCGTCGACATTGCCATTGTCGGCGCGCATATCGGTCTGGTGCTGCATTGCATCATGGTCGCCGCTGCTGTTTTTGCGACGGCTGTGGCAGCCGCGACGGTGAGAAGAAGCGTGCGCGTGGGGGGACCGGACAAGCCGGCAAAGCTGGCTGCGTTTGGCGGCATTTTCTTAATGATTTCTGCTTTGACGCAACTTGCCTGCAATGTGAGGTTTGGCTGGGTGGTGGTGGTGGTGGTTACTGAATGGGGCGCGCCTCCTGCGTACATGTATGTGTTGAGTGTCATTTTTGATACCTGGCCGCTGCTCGGGGCGCTTGCACTGCTGTATATGAGTGCGAAAAGCTGGAATAAAGGACTGACGAAGCTGCAGATTGGAGAGGTTGCATAGTAGGCACTGGTCCAATCTCTGTTTGAGCGTGTCATGTAGTTTTTTGGTGGTAACCCGAGGTGGTAGATGATTGATCTATTTGCATATGTAGCGCGATATGGGTATTCTGAGATGGTATAGAATTTATTTATTTGCATATATACATAATATTGTTGGTCCGAGATGTATTATAGTTGGTTCATTTGCATACATTCACGATATTCATAGTCTGAGATAATATGTAATTCATTCATTTGCATATATACACAATATTCGTAACGGACAAAATCTACAAATGCGGCAACAACCTGTGCCATTATATATGCTTGCCCTGAGACAGGCCACTGACGAAATTGGCATCCTTCTTACCCAACGTCAGCAGAATATTCACAAGCCCGGCAAGGACGGGTTCGAGAGAGAGGCCAAGAGCCAGTGGGTTCAGCTTGTCGTCGAGAACCGTCCTGCTGGCACAGCCACCAGGGACGGAGCCGCTAAAGGCATCGCCGGCAAATTTGATGGCATCAATCACAGCAACCACCTCGGCGGTGACGTGGCCGCCGGCAGCGTAGTTGACAAAGCGCACATTGGCACCGTTGTCGCACCAGCGCTTGCGGAGGCCATCAGCGCCAGCAAAAGGGATAACCTCATCGTCTGGAGAGTGATAGAGCATGACGGGTACCGTGGGCGTTTCGTTCTTCTTGAGACCCAGGGTGCTCTCGGCGAGGACCCACGCAACATCCTTATCGTAGAGTAGGTCCTTGCCGAGGGTCTGGAAGCTAGTGTCGAAGATGGACTTGCCCGCAAAGGCAATGAGATTGACCGGCGCGCACTGGCTGGTTCCGAGAGCCAGAGCTTCTTTGCCGCGGGGACCGATGACCTTGTCCAGGACGGGCTTGAGGCGTGCACCGTAGGCAGAGGGCATAATTTGGCCTGCAAGGGCACCTGGGACGAAACCCGCGAATAAGGTGCCATCGACGTAAAGAAGAACCTCGGTAAGGTTTGCAGGTGTACCGCCGGCGATGAAGCCCTTGAGGTTTAGGTCGGGAGCGTAGGTGGGATGGAGGGAAGCCGCCCAACCGCTAGCAATGGCACCGCCAGAGTAACCAGCATTGACAACCATGGGGTTCTTGTCGAGGCCAATTTTGGGGCCATAGTTGACTACGGCGCGAATGCCGTCAAGAACGCCCATGCCCGAGAGACGGCCGACGGAAAAGGCCACGTCAGGACCCTCGTAGTCGGCGGAAGCGACGGTGTAGCCAGAGAGCAGGTAGGCTTGAATGATGAGAAACTCGGCCGACGAGATGACGTCTGTTTGGAGTGCACCCAAGCGGTAGTTGTAGCTGGGGTTGCAGATGGAAGCCGACGAGTCGTAGGCCGTGTTGAAGGAGATGAAGCGGTCGCGCTTGGCAAAGAGCGGCTTGAAGATGGTGACGACGGTGGCAATGGCAGAGCCGTCAATGGCCGTGGTGCGATAGAGCAGCTGACGAGAATCAATGGGAGCGGGGATGAGACCGAAAAACGAAGCCACGATGGGGCGCTCACGCAGCACAGTACCGGGCTTGGCCGACTCGAAGCCAGAGGGGGGCACATAGAAGGGATCATTGGCAGGAGTGGTGATGCGCTTCTCCGGAACAGTGAGAGCAGACGCGTCCTCGGCCAATTCAAGGCCAGACGGGGGTACAGACGAGGGGTCGTTGGCGGGAGTGGTGATGCTCTGCTCAGGAATGGTGAGAGCAGACACCAGCGGAAGGACCGCGGCAACAAGGGATAGGAACTTCATGATGAGCCGGGCGTGCTGTTTAATTCAAGAGCCAGAAGGAGAAGCTTTTGCACACACACAAGCCTGTTGATCTGGTGCGACGACGACAAAGACATCTTTACAAGAAGGGGGATGGCAAGGGACTTATATAGGATTCGGAGCAAAGACTTCTATTGACGCGAGATTCTTAAGAAAAGGGCTGTGACAAGGGTTTGCTGAATCCTGTAAAGAGGCAGCGAGGGTGGGATGGCCAGTTCCATTGTCCATGAGACTGCCTCTCTCTTTTGCCAAGCACAGTTGGCCCAGGAAGAAGAATTGACTCCACAAGAGCTTCTTGCCTCCCCCCGGATTTTTGGGCACGGAAGATGCCACACCCAGCACGGCAAGTAAAAGCTTTCAAGTTTGCTGTTTCCTTTGCTCCCATCAAGCGAAAGCCTTGTTCACGGACACGAGGAGAGAGGGTGGGGGAAGGGGGGGGGGGGGCAGCTGGATAGATGGGTAGGGTTAGAAAGCCTCGGCAACGCGAACGACGCCATCTTGCAACGGGAAAGCCACCGCCATGTGAACGGAAGCGGGACACGTGAAAAAAAGAAAAGAAAAGAAAAGTTGGTGGCTTGACAGATTCGACGTCGATGAGATGAGCTATTGGAAGACGCGGGGGGGAGACAAGGGCATGGCAAGGGAAGGGCGGGGGAAAAGCCACAGCCTTTCTCCTGCAAGCCCGCTCTCCTCAGACAACAACTCATTGTTTTCACGAACACCTGCAGACCAAGGGCCGGCCCAAAGCTCCAATTTGGGCAAGGTCCAGTTGAAGCGTGGAGAATTGCAATTCTGGCATGATTCGGCTCTTTGGCTAGCTTGGCATTGTTTTTAAGTCTTTTTTGGCAGGAGACTCCGTTGCACTAGCCAGCTAGCTGCGGCGTTGAACGATGGTCGTCCGAGCCCAAGCCCCCCCATGTGCCCACGCATATGTGGCCGGCACTCGCATTGTCGGACAGTTGAATCAGCCCGGGGTCGCTGAAAAAAAAAACCTAAAGGATGACCTATATGCGATGCTTGTTATAGGGCTGCGCGGGAACAAAGTGATGAGGGAGGGGGGTTGTGACCCAGCCGCTCTCGTGCAGAAGCAGAAGCTTTTACGGCAGTCGGACGGTAGATGTTTGTCATGGCTTATTTGAACGGAGATATTATGGTAGCTTATTGTTATAAGTTATTAGCGCCGCCCGCCCGGACCCGTTTTTGATCTTCCGGGGTAAAAAGGTATTTTTTTTTGTAGAATCTGGGGTTTAGTCGGGCGTGTCATTTTACACCCAGTCATACGTTGCACCAGGTCTACGTTTCACAACTACTGAGCATTGTCAATACAGACACTTGACAACTACAGAATAATTTGTCGCACACGATTTGCTCTATTGTTCCTTGCAAAATTGAGTAGGTAAGGTGTGCTGGTGACTGGTGGCTGAAAATCAAACTCTGACCCATCCGCCAAAACGTACTTACTAAAATCAGGGGGGGGCACGTTCTTGGGGCTGAATGAGCCAACTAGTCTCATAACTCTCACTAGTTGGCATCCCCATCCGTGCTCTTATTTAGGGCAGATTCAATTACTTCAGTGCGCAACGCCTAACCCGGATGGCCAAGTGATCATCCCTAGGTACTTACGGGTGGCGCCAGTGCATCGGACAACTGCGAGGCGCCTGCGTGATAATATGTGGCTGCCAGAGCGGTCTCGCGGCCTAGAATGCCCGTCAAACGACCGTGGGTGAGCCACATCGGGCGACGACGACTACCTAGATTGGCACCTCGGCCGGGCGCCCCTCATCTTGCACATGGTTGATGGAGAAGGCGGATACTCAGCCGTCATTGCCATCATGTCCGGCCGGCCTTGATTGACACATTGTGTGCTCCGTCGCCGTTTGCTTCATCTGCCAGCGGACGCTAATGAGATGATTTCCCAGCATCTAGGATCCATGGTGCCCGATGGCCGCTGCGCAGACCCGCGTGTGTATCGTATCATATTTCAGCTGGCGGCAGTTGCCGTGAATGGCTTATCTATGGTTTTCGACACTCGTATGGCTGTCGTCTTTGTCCACTTTATGAGAAGACTGGATAGGCTGCCAAGCGACGTTCGAAAACAAGGTGCGTAATCTGATGGGGTCTCGCAGCATCAACCGTGGAGATGACATGGGGAGAAGGGGCGTGAGGGGCGTGTAAGACTTGGCTAGATGAGCGAGCGTCTCTGCAGGGAGGATGCTAGTTGGGAATATTGCTAGTTGGGAATATGCTAGTTGGGAATATGCTAGTTTGAGCAACATTTCGTGGCTGTTAAATCCTCATGTGGCGTCTGCAACGAATCCTGGGATTTTCAAGATCTGGAACCGAGATTACCATACTCTATATGTTAGTTGACTCTGCTGTTGCGAAATTGGCCTCTTACGGTTGCGGATGCAGTTAAAAGACAAGTAAACAGGCCAATACTACAAGAATCTATAGCACCAATAGTATAACAAGGTCGGACCAAGCAGACTAATCAAGAAAACAAACGGGTAAAGTCAAAACGGACATATGGCAGTTCTAGACCAAATAAACTTTTCTTCTTTCTCGTCACCGGCTGAATAAAGTGACTAACAGAAAACATTATCACGATGCGGTGAGCCCTCCCCTCCCGCAACGGGGGAATACGAAGAGAAGCAAGCTCGCCATCGTCCCACCAGAATGCCTCGGAGCATCGTTTTTTGAATTGCCATGTGAAGCTTGCAATATTCCCGCGGCGAATGGGGTACATTGTTTTCGGGAAAAAAAGTAGCGAGCCTGCAGCAGTGGCTTGGCGTTGATGTGCGTCGTTGCATTGTCCCGACAGCTATTAAGCCGAGAGTCGCAAGCTTTGCGAGCACGTGAGTTGACAATACTTGGAGCTCGCCCGGGCAACATGCCGCAAACGCTAACATTGCCCATACCTCCAAGTACTTGTCCATTGCCAGATATGATTTCGTTGTCGCTCTGAATTTGGTTGTCGCTCTTGGCATCTTCCATGGACATGTATAAGTCGGTATTCTTGGTTTCTCACTTTCGTCACCTCTTGCTTGGCCAGCTGAGAATTGAAAGAAGCGGCGGACTGCCAACTATAAAACATCAAATACAGGTTTCCGATTTTCAAAACTACGAAAAATGAGTCTGTGAGTGATAGCTTTTACTTTGATGCTTGGTGCGGCTGTGTCAGAAACACCGAGCACAAGCGTAAAGCTTGATCACCAAGCTCACCACAGGCGCAAACATGGGTTATCTGATGCAGCAAAGTATATTGACCGTGCTGATTCTGATCAAGTAGAAGAAGGCAAAACATTGAATTAAAAACAAAAAGGCAACACAGAAATGTACACACAAATAAATGTAAAAGTTTAACAGGACCTCTCATGTCCCGCCATGAACCACATGTGGGGCCGTTCAAAGCGCCCCATCTTCAACTTGGCAGCAATCATCAAAAAAACACCAACCTCACTCGTCCAACTTTTGTCGCCAATCTTCGCCCCCCCTTCCTTCCTTTGCATCGCCGCCCGGGATGAATTGTTCCCAACACGTGCTGCATAGGCTGCAGCAGCCAATGTGCAGCAGCATTCGCTCCATCACGCGCCCATGTTGCGCCGCGCGATCCCCGATAACGACGACGACGACGACGACGACGACAGCTGCCCGGCCGCCACCATCATCATCCAGCAGCAGCAGCAGCAGAAGCAACCGCTTCTTCTCGACCACGCGGCGTACTCGCGCACAGAAACAAGCCGCCGACGACCCAAACTTTGTCTCGACTGTTGACCTCGACCCGACCATGATTCGACCCGGCCGGAAGCACGGCCCCGGCCTCATCATTCTCGGTACATTTGCACTCCCCCCCCCCGCGCTTCCTTTTTTTCCGAGTTTTCGCCATTTGCTGATTTATTTTGCTTCCTCTCCCCCCGCCCGCAGCTCTCATCCCCATTACCGCATTTGCCCTGGGAACCTGGCAGGTCCAGCGCCTCGGCTGGAAGACGGACCTCATTGCCAAGTACGAGGACCGCCTCGTGCGCGATCCCTTGCCGCTGCCGCCGCACATTGACCCTTCTGCCGTGCACGAGTTTGACTATCGCCGCGTCGTCGCCACCGGCCGTCTGCGCCACGACCAGGAGATGCTCATTGGCCCGCGCATGCGCGACGGCCAAGACGGCTACATGGTTGTCACGCCGCTGGAGCGTGATGGTGGTGGTGGTGGTGGTGGTGATGGTGCGGCGGCGTCGACTATTCTGGTCAATCGCGGCTGGATCAGCAAGAAGCACCGCGATCAGAGATCGAGGCCGCAGAGCTTGCCGACGGGCGAGGTCACGGTGCAGGGCTTGCTGAGGGCGCCGTGGAAGAAGAACATGTTTACGCCGGATAATAGGCCCGAAAAGGGCGAGTTTTACTTTCCGGACGTTGAGCAGATGGCGGCGTTGACGGGGGCGCAGCCCGTGTGGGTGGAAGCGACAATGGGTACGTTCACAGAGTCTTGAAGGGGGGGGGGTTGATATCCTGGAGAATGGATGGATGGATGGTGTGTGCTAACTTGCTTCCGACTTAGAGCCGGAATACATTAGAATGATGGAGTACGAAGCGCGCGGTATTCCCTTTGGCCGACCAGCCGAGGTCAACCTGCGCAATAATCACGCACAATACATCTTCACCTGGTACGTTTTTTTTTTTTTTCGCATTCAAAAGTTTGCTAATTAGATGCAGGTATGGGCTCGCCGTAGCGACATCCGTCATGATGTACCTGGTTATGAAGAAACCCGCCTCCGACGTTGTCCGTCGTGTCCGCGCGACGCGCACTCTGTAAAATAAAAACATGTATAATAATTTGCCACCTCAAGCCATGGGCGCCAAGCAGAAAAACTCCATTTTGTACAATGCATAAATAGAAGAAATGAGCTGAAGCAAATCATGAAATCTCGGAAGCGTCTTCGTCGTCATCGTCGTCGTCGTCGAATTGCGTCAAACTCTTGTGTCGCTGGCCCTTTAAGTTTGGCTGCTGCGGCATTCGCAGCTCCTGAAGGAGCTCTCTGGGCAGATGCCGCTGCGCAAGAGAAAAGAGCGTGGCATCAGAGCCAATCTGTCGCTGTCTAAATTAAAAAAAAAAAAAAAAAAAAAGCCACCATTAGTACAGCGTCCCTTTTGGGTCTTGACGACTATTTCCCAGCCCTTACCTTTTCATCAGGGTTAGCACATCGCTCTCCTCAATGACTGTCCGCTGCGCGTGGTCCGCGTATGCGCCCAAATCATCGCTCAGCTGCTCAAAAAACCACTCCGACGCCTGCGTCAGCGCGGCCAGCACGTCGGACGAGATGCGGTGGTTGCTCAGGCCCGATGTCTGCACCGCGCGGTGCGCCACGCGCCGTACAAACGAAGGCGGCAGCGGCGGGTACTCGGCGCCGTGCCGAGAGATGCGCTTCTGCTTCTTCTTGGGTTTGGAGCCCCGGCGAGCCGGCGCCGAGTGACCCGGGGTCATCATGGTCGTGTCTTGTTGGCGCAGCGTGGCGTCGGCCGGGTCGCTGTCCTCGCCCTCGGATATGAGTGTCTCTCCGTGCGTCAGCGCAGAAGCTCGACGGCGGCCGACTTCCGCGTCTTCTTCTTGTTCTTGTTCGACGCGGTCCTGTCTGACAGTGGGTTCGTCATGGTCAAAGACTTGACGCTCGCCATGGTCCTCGTCATCGTCGTCGTCGTCGCCGAATGGTGCAATACTTTCGCCCTCTGGATTTTCTGGGATAAATGAGATGTTGCTATATGTCGCCTCTCCTCCTCTTTGTGCTGCTTCCGCTGCCGCAGAGTCACGCGGCAAAGGCGACGTCGCCGGCGCATCACCGCCCGGTTCCGAGAGCATGAAAGTCGTTTGATCGCCCATGTCTGCAGGAACGCCGAGCGTAAAGTCACTTTGGCGACCAATCGTGCGCATCGTGGCATCGATTTCAAATCTATATGCCGTTAGTAGAGCTCGCGTGCCGCTCTTGTGCGTTTGATTGCCAGCTCACCGATCAAATGCTGCTGCGTTGTCTTGTGCCCTGTCTCGCAGGTCCTCCAACAATGAGCCCGGAAAAAAGTCCGACTGCCGTCCAGTCATTTCCACTGTTGGGTCGTTTAGACCAAAGTAGTCGCTGCCGCGCACGCTGCCGAAGCTACCGCGCGAATACCTAGATGCTGGCTGGTCGCGCGGTAGTTCCACGGATCCTACAGTATAGTTTGTAATGTTGTCGTCGGGAATCACCGACAATCGCGGCGGCCGAAGCTCCACGGTGTCATCATCGTCCTCCTGCAGCGGCAGCGACAATCGCGGTGGTGCGGGCAGCTCGTCGTCGTCGTCATCGTCGTCGTCGTAGTCCCCCTGCACGTCTGGCTCGTCGTCCATGTAGTCGTCTTCGTCGGCCGCTTCCTCGCGTTCCCCTATAGATTGCAAGCCCGACTGCGGCTCCCTGTCTGCCGGCGAGGAGCTCGCGGCTACTTGCTGCGTCGACGGCGCCAGCCGCTTCGCGAGCTGATTGAGGATATTCATGGGTGTCTGGTGCTGCTCGCGCAAGCTGCGTCGGCGGTTCTTGCCAGGCGTAAACATGGCCGTCCGACGCTGCTCGAGTGCCCGCCGCGCGGCTGTCGCGTGCGGCGTGGGTGCATTGTTATTCTTGCGGCCCGAGGCGCTGAGACCTCGACGGACGGAATTCGCAAGCTCGCGAGGCCCGGTCCGGTCGAGCGGTGTGTGGACGGATGCATCTGGGTTGGATGTGCGGCCAGAAGGCGTCTTCTGGGACGGAGTCCGCCCTGCAGGTGTCCGGGCTGGGCGGCTGCGGTTTCCGGTTGGGGTGTCGGCCATGATGGTGGTTGTGGCGATTGTGGTGGCGGTGGTGACGGTGGGTGTAAATATTGATTCGTTTACTGGGCTGTGTCGTCCAGCACGGCGCTGTCAGGAATCAACTGCCCATTTCCTCGACCAGAGTCAGCAAGCTTTCCGATGAAAAATCCCAAACTCGACTGAATTTGCTTTCGAATTGCCGTGCATGTCAATGCAAGGTCAAAACAGGTTGGCCAGCGACAAACGCGCCTACAAGTTGGAGGACGCGACTGGTGGGGTCCATGCAGGCTGCACTAGCAGATCAATGCGTCAAGTAACATCACTACAACTTCCACTCCCCATGATTCGTTGGCAATTTTTTTTTTTTTTTGATCTTTTCGTTTTATCGATCAACTAGTTATTCATCTGCCAACGATTGTATCTTACCTGCAACCTGCTCTACATTGTCTAGTACCAGGAGGTCACCGTTCGACCTACCGCCGAATCCTGCCATCAAGACTCGGCACATTTTCTCGCCACACCACACAGACTAATCACTTCATCGACCATCTACAATGATTCTGCATGGCGTTTCATCGAGCGGCGTTGACGGAAACATTATGCACAATGCAGCTCGAGTCAGTGCACTGATCAACACATGGTTAAGTGTTTCAAAGTTGGGATCACATACAACATGTTTTGAAACGAATATTCATATTCCTATTATATACAGCTCATAAGACCATGTTTCTTCTTAATCGCCCACAGCATGCACTATATACAGCCATTCCCATCATAGTACGCTATTCAATGCTGAAAGTCACCGTCATGGATCCAGCGGTTGACGAGATCAAGGATGGGCTTCGGCTCATCCATGGGAACAAGGTGACCAGCACCAAAGATGCGGGCAAAAGCGAGCCCCTTGGCGCTCTGGACGGTGCCGTAAGCGCTGCCGCCACCAGCCTTGTAGGTGAGGTTCTGGGTTTGGGCCGCCTTGAACGAGGCCTGGCCGGGCCATGGGAGGGCAAGGGTCCAGGCGCGCTGGCCGAGCCAGTTGCAGATGTAGTCGGCATCGCCGGCGTAGACGAGCACGGGGACGCTCTTGGCCAGCACCTTGGGGACGTTGCGCTGAATGGGCAGCATGTCGTCGCCGGTGCTGTGAAAGTCGTTGTTGACCTGGCCGTTGCAGTTCGAAAAGCTGTCGACCTCGACGTTGAGGGCCTCCATGACGTCCTGGCGATTCAAGTACTCTTCAACATAGTTCATGCCCTGGTAGCAGAGGCCACCCGAGTTGGGCTCGCACTGCTTGCGCACGTCGTACGGGTTCTGACCGGTCGCGTAGTAGGGGTCTGAGACGCTTCTGCAGGCGCTCGAGGCGGACGTGCAGTCGTTGGCATTCTGGGTCGAGTAGCACCGCTTGATGGCGCTCTGGCAGCGAGGAATGGCGTTGCGCATCTGGGTGCAGGTGTTCGGGCCGACGACGGCGGGGTACCCTCCGTTACCACAGGCCATTTCGGGGTACTGGGGGTACTGGTTGTAGGCATCGGTGAGGCCGTTGCCAATCAGGATACTCTTCAAATTGATGCCGCTGTCGGAGTGGGAGAGAATTTCGGCGGCGTCGTCAGGGATGTAGTGTCCGGCGTACGACTCGCCGGCAATGTGAAAGTCCTGCTTGGCGTACTGCGGGAACTGCTGGAAGAAGAGCTTGAGGAGAGCGTAAATGTCCTTGCTGGCGGCTAACGAGGTGTCGACATCCTGACCGTACGAGTAGCCCGTGCCGACGGGCTGGTCTAGGAAAAGAACGTTGGCGCGGTTGTTCCACGAGTCGGGATTGTTGACAACCTTGATGCTCGAGGTGATTTTGGCCGGGCCGAGCTCGAAGAACAGACCAGTCATGGACGAGCAGCCCGGACCGCCGCTGAGCCAGAGGACGACGGGGTCCTTGGCAGGGTCATTGCGAGACTCGAAGAACCAGTAGAACAGGTGCTTGTCCTTGGCGTTGTCGTCAAGATAGCCGGTATACTGCTTAACCTTGTCGACGCCGAGAGAGGAAGGGTCCACGCTCTTGCCGCGAAGGCTGTAGTTGGCGATGCTAGCATTGGCGGGCTCCTCGCGGCGTTCAATCTCGGCACCGTTGACAATGTAGTCCCAGCTCTTATCTGGACGGCGTTGTTGGGTGGGCTTGGCCAGCGACGTCGAGACGAGGCCGAGGAGGAAAGCAGCGGACCACCTCATTGTCAAAAAGGAATATGTAGTAGAGGAGGATGGGGGGGTTTTTTCAGAGTGTGATTAAACCTGGCCGAGCACCGAGCAAAGCAGAACAGGCCGTGGCCATCTTTTAAACTTGGGAAGCGTCCCATGTCGCCCATTGCACCTGCTCTAACGGGTAATCGTAGGCCGGCCGAGCCCCCGTGTGATGAAGTCACCAACTGGGGCGCATGGATGGCCATAGTGGACTTTGAAGATCGCCTCACAGTATGCTCAGTCCGACTGGGGCTGCTTTGGGAAGGACTTTGAGGTTGGGGTGGTCGTTGATTCGCTCTGGGCTCCCGTACGTGTTTGATGTCAAGTAGCAGGGCCAACCAGCCGACAGGCCCTCTTCGCCGACCATATTTTCCGGAGGCCCGAGAGCCATGTATTTGCCTAGCGATAGCAACTCAAATGGGCTAGGTTGTGGAGCGGCTAAAAGGAGCACATGTCCAGTGAAGGAGTGTGCCTCCTGGCGATCATTAGTTGTGGTGGCGACCAAAGCCCAAAGCTTAGCCCATACAATTCTGCAACCCTGCAAAAAAAGGCAGGTAACGGAACTAGCTACTGAGTAATTGACGGGACTTTGTTGTTGGTGTTGTTGCAGCGGACAATGGGACTCGGCCTAACAGAGAAGGTCACTGGAACTATCGAGCCGTCTTATACGATGTGTGCCCAATACGTTGTGCAAGCATTTCCGTCTGCGTTGCGTTACGAATGGACAAGGTTGTTCTGCTATTCCGGCTGAAACAGCTCAGCTCACAATCGCAATGCCGACCGAGCCAAACCGGGCCCAGCGGAAAGTAAATCCCAGACGAGCCTTGGTGGAAACAAAAGACAAAAACTGCACCGAAAGATGGCGATCTATGGGGTTGCAAGCAGCTCCTAGTCTAGGGCAGTTGGTCCGCCTCTCGCATCAGCTGCTCAGCGGCTCTGCAACGCTTACCGGCGACGAATTCGCTAACTTTATCAGTATTACCTTTTCATCCGACAGCCGATGACAAGTTGGGACACTCAGCATTGTCTTCTCTTTTTTTTTCTCTCCCTCCTCTCCTCTCCCTGCGTGCGACGCTGATGACGCTCCGTTTTCACTGAGTTCCCGATGACGGCTATCCGGCTTCATAGTGTCGTCCTTGATACAACCGTGCCCACCTGCCCAATACAGTAAGTTTGCCCTGTAAAAAGAGATTATAGGCAGCAACCTAGAAAAAACACGGAGCATTACGTGATGCAATGCAAGTCTAAAAGAATCAAAAAAGAGGAAAGGACAACTTAAAAGTTGCCTTTTATTACCCAGGTTGTCGGGCATTGTGTGGCAATTGACCCCTGGCATTCATCCGACGCTTGTTAGACTTCTCCACGACATGGCGTCCGACTACCGCACAGTGCGTCCTTTGGCTTTTAGACAGAAACGCCACATGTTGTCGAATGAGTGCCCCGATCGGCCAGAGCCTCTGTCAGTCTTTTTGTCATCTGGTAATGGCAGCGCGACCTGCTTGGATTGAATGAATCCATGTAGAGCAGGCCATGTGTAGAGAACTCGCTCTCGTCTTATCATGATTCACTGCAGAAACTTGTACCATCATGCGATAATGTCAGCCACCACTCGCGTTGGCACATGGCCATTCAATGTGAGCTACTGGACTGTGTCACGGCCGAGCCCGACAGCAGGTGCACGCCAAGGCGCGAAATCGGTTGCCGTGCCCGCCGCTACGCATGGCGCGCCCGTGGCGTTTCCAGAAGCCGATCGAATGAGGGAAAGGTTTCACTTTAGGCCCATGTACAAGATCCCTCCAGTTCCTTCTCTACTTCCGAGACTCAAGACTATGTAGGCAACCAGCACTATTGTTAGCGCTCCGCTTCTACCTTCAGGCAAGCCGGCGGATGGAACAAGTGCCCGCGACGACGCCGTACAAAAAAGGCGTACAGCCCGCCCGCAATGTATACCGCTGCGATGCTAATGACAAGTGGCCAGTGAAACTGCTCTGGGCGCGGAAATGCAATCGTGGTCGCAAAGGAGAGCAGCTCGAATAAATTCTGGAAAGACGCCTCGACGCTTGAGAATGCGCCCCGGTTGCCGTCCTCGACTTCCTAGCGAGCATATCAGTTGAACAGATTCTGCCATAGATGCACGAATCTTGTCTACGAACCTCTTGAACAATTGTCTGCGCGCAGAGGTCGTAACCCCAAAGACCAAGCCGGCTCAGTGCGATGCACACAATCAAACCGGCGACTGACGTCCACGCATGGCTGGCGTCGTACCCGAGGCCGTCGCGGAGAAAGAGGCCAAGCCCCAGCGTCAGGCAAATCATCTGCCAGCTGAGGCTCCAAATCCCGCCGCGGACAGGGCCCATGTAGCTCATGAGCCGCGGCGCCGCCCATGTGGCGCTAAGCTCAATCACAGTGCTGCCAGTGCGGGCGATGCCGACGTGCAGCGGCGTGAAGCCCATGGACAGCAGAAAGGTGATGAACTGGCCAGAAAAAGAGAGGACGGTGAGGTACAGAAGTGAAAGTGAGAAGGAGGGGAGAAACGCTGGGTGTCGAAAGTAGTCGGCAAAGGATGCGACGGGGACAATGCCTGCGAGAAAGGCCTTGAAGCGGGCAGCAACAGAGGGCGATGCCCCATGCTGCACCGGGGGAAGAGCCGTGTTGTTGTGTTGCAAAGCTGGTACGCTTTTGTATACCTAGTCCTGTCAGCATCAGACTCGAGCAGCTTGCATGTTCTTCATACATTCGCAATGCAGCCGTATTCAAAGAATACCGATGCTACATTCATCGCAAGCGTAGCCCCAATCGCAAACCGAGTCGAGACAGTTGCAATGATGGATATCGCCAGCGGCCCAAGCAGTTTGCAAAGCAAATCGATCCGACGCATGCGCGCATTAATGACTAGCCACCGTCAGCATCAACTCGGGCAATCCTGGGCCAGAGCATCCCCTTACCTCGTCGCCACGCCTCGTCCTCTCTCGTCACGACCACGACCCAATCGCGCTCCACCGCAATCGTGTTGGCCATCGCCGCGACCTTTTCTACGCCCGCCAGCGCGCACAGCAGCACCATCAACCCCACGACGATGCGCGGTGTCAACGTCGCCATCCGCCGCTCGAGCAGCCACAAGATGCTGCAGCTTGCCGCGACCGGCAGCCGCTGAAGCACAATCGACGCGCGTACGACGGCGAGGCGGTCTCCGCGGTCGATCCATGCGCCTACCGGGTGCGCGAGCGCCACGGCGGCGAGCCCCCGTGCCAGTGCGTACACGGACATGGGCAGCAGCGTCGTGGGGAAGAGGGAGGCGAGGAACAGCACAGCGCCAAACTCAAAGAGCCGCGCATTCCACGTGGATAGCGTGTGCGAGAGGTAGAGGCGGCGCTCGAGACGCACGCGGTGAGCGGACGCATCGTGGTCGCCGTCCTGGGCGGCCTGCTGCTGCTCTGGCGACTGCGCAGCGGCGCGGCCTAGGAGCGGATCGGTCGCACGCGGCGGAGGGGTTTCGTCGTCGGAATGCATGCCGGAAAACCAGCCTTGATCGCGGATGTTTGCTGCTGGCTGCTCTTGCTATTTTGGTGATGCTGACGAACTGGCGGATCCTTTTTCTTGTATCGGGCGTAGCCAACGGTGGCCCGACCCGGAAACCGGCCAACCGGCGCAATTCGGTCTTGTTGATGAGGCTGAGGCAACCCTGAGGGAAATCTCCGCTAAAAAACAAAATCTGCCAATCAGGCCGTTTCTCAATTGCACATGGATGCACAAACTGTGCAAGTTGGCAACCATCGACAGGAAAAACCTGACTCTGTTGGGTTGCCAACTTGCCAGATTGCTGCAGGCATTCAGCCGGTGCAATGGTTGTGCATCGATTGCACTGCTCCAAGTCTAGCGCCTCAGTCCGATCTACTAACTAGTAAATTTGCCAATATCTCGAATCCGTCATCTTCGGTATTGATCTCATTGAATCTGTGCAAAAGGCTTGGCTTGGCAAGTGGTTTCTATTTCTGAGGAATTCTTCGAAGCGAATGGGGTGTCGTCATAACTATCGAGAGAAACTGCGGCCGGAACTCGTTGATCACCAATTGTGTCGCGTACCGCTGCACCAAAAATAGATATCCGCCTGGCGTAATGGGACATTGGCCTGCATGGTCGTGCCACACCGGCATCTGCAACATGCTGCAGTCTGCAGTGCTTAAGACCGGGGACTAGGGGCTTCCGCAGCGTTCCTATCAAGATTTCTCGTTTCGTTGAGATGGTGACGAAAAGGCCACCCTTATCCTGCAAGCCATGTCTTTGGCCAGTGCAGCGCCTGCAACGGCGAGGCGTGTCAGGAAATTGATGAGAGCTGTTGTTCTTGAAGAACTGTTGATTTCCCGATATATCTAGTCAAGATGGCAAGGTACTCCCCGAATGCCAGGCTAATGCTCCGCAAGATGCTGCAGCCGCGCGAGATCGGCCAAAGAGACTGCGTAGCTCCGAACCAGAACGATCTCAGTCAAAGACATCAGCCTTGTTCATCGGACACGTCGAAAAGTAGACAGCCATTCATCGAGTGTTCTGACAACCCGATTTTGAAGAAATTGTGTACTCCCCAAAGTCAGAATAACCGATCCCAGAGGCTCTAGCTGTGCGTCAGTCTCTTCTTCGGGACAATCTTCAGTCTCGCTCGTTTCTTCCAGGAGCATTACTGCAGGGGACCAACGTGGCACTAGTTGTTGAGCGAAACCCATGCACTTCCAGCTTATGTCAAGTTCACTTGTATTTTGTTATGCGTCGCAGTGCAGTAGCAAACGGCCAGCTGAGGCGTGAAACAAGCGTGTTGTACCACTTTTCCGGCTAAAAAGGTAAAGGACCGCCCAAGTCGGTTCGGAGGCCTGGTGCGAGGACGCTCAGCGGTCATCAAATGATCGCGCTGACCACTACAACGGTAGACCCAATTCATCAAGAGCATCTTGGCAAGTCAGTTATTGGCTGATTTATCGCTGGAAGTACAGCAGGATACAAAGGTTTCGATTGGTCGGTGCTTTGATGCCCGATGACACTTTACAAGGCCGCAAGGTCGCCAAATCTTGTACAAGGGATGATGCCATGCATGATGCCTTCCTTGGTGCTTGGGTGAGGGTGCGAGAGAATGGAGCAATGGGTGAACCAGCGCCACGGCGCGTACGGACAAGACCGGGTTGAACGCCTACGTGAGGCAGTTGAGCTGGCCATGGGTGTTTGGTGTTTGGCAGCGGAGAATGCTGACGTTTTATCTCATGTCGGGCCCATCCGATGGAGATGAAACCTGACACATGATGTGTTAGTCGGTTTTAGCTTGTGCAGTAGGAAAAGAGTCCATAATGGCAGCGAGTGGGTGGACGAAACGCGTCTTCGTCGCAGGAGGGGAGCTCCGTGTCGAGCGTTAATGGGGAATGGAGAGGTCGGGGGGGAAGAGGATGAGAAGAAAGATGAATATGAATATGAAAAAGATGAAAATTAGACTGGCTGGTTGGTCAGGTGTCATTGATGACGGTCAAGACAAGGCGGAGGAGGAACATGAGGAAAAGAGGAGGACAAACGATCAATTGAACGCCATGACAAGTCGGAGCCTTGAGCGTTTTCAGAAGCTCGAGGAGAGCGCGTAGATGGTCTGAGCAGGAACCCTCTTTTACAGTACCTACCTATTGGGTGCATTGTTAGCGGATGTAATCCGTACGATGGCCACTGACCTGGGTACAAGAAGCAAACAGTGGATTACAGCGGGCTAAGCACTTCTTAGCGGAGCATTCTAGCGGGTTTTGCGCCAAAGCTTGGTCAGATTGCCCTGAAGTCTACAGTGATTTCCCTGCGATTAGACCCGAATGCAGCACGAATACAGGCCCAACCTCCAATTCCAAGGCCACGCTAGCTCCTCTCAGTTAGTTACCTCTAGGTACCTGCTATCTGTTTCTGCCACACTATTATTACCAGCCTCACAAGTCACAACCTCTCATTCTTTGCCTGCCATCCGCTCGTCATTCTGCCATCTTCCCGCCTTGCTGCCTCAACTCTGCTGCCGCTGCATTTGCTTCTCATGCAGTCTTGAAACCCGCTCCTCGCCATCTTCGTCCTCTGCTACCCCCTCTTCGATCCCCTTTGCTCGACGTTTGCTACCACTCGCTTGCCCTGATCATTGCTTGCGGTCCCTTTTTCCCCCCTCCACCTTTTCAGGCCCGGACCTCTCTGTCTCTCTTTCTCCCTCTCTCTCGACGACTCGTTCCCCAGAATCCCACCGCACACGCTCAACCGACCGACCCCCCCTTTTCGGCCCTCTTTGCTCTTTGCCACGACCATCTTCATCTCGGCAACCTGCATTGCACTCTTGCGATTTCGATCCGGCTCTTAGCATAGCCTCCAGGCGCTCGCAACTTCCTTGTTTATTTTATTTTCGCTGCTGTCCGAAATTCCATCATGGCTCAACCAGGAGGAGTCCAGTCGCTCAAGGCGTGTTCCGCCCCTCCCCGCCCAGAGCTCGCTAGCTCTCACAGAGTCGAATTGCTAACCCGCGATGCAGTGCGTCGTAACCGGTGACGGTGCTGTCGGCAAGGTATGCCTCCCCAACCGATTCGAGATGATCCCTTTCTCTACCCGATTCATCAGCTAATCGCCCCCTAGACATGTCTTCTCATCTCATACACCACCAATGCCTTTCCCGGCGAGTACATCCCGACAGTGTTCGTGCCCTTGCACATACGCCCCCCTCTACGTGCACATGTTAATGCGCTCCTCTAGATTCGACAACTACACCGCCAGTGTCATGGTCGATGGCAAGCCCATCAGCCTCGGTCTCTGGGATACCGCCGGTCAGGAAGATTACGAGCGACTTCGCCCGTTGTCCTACCCCCAGACCGACGTATTTCTCATTTGCTTCTCCGTCGTCAGCCCTCCTTCCTTTGACAACGTCCGCGCCAAGGTATGTGTTTCAAAGCAACTCATGCCAAACAAAGGCCATGCAGCTACTGACTAGCTCTAGTGGTACCCCGAAATCGACCACCACGCTCCCAACATTCCCATTATTCTCGTCGGCACCAAGCTCGATCTCCGCGACGACGCCGCCACCCTCGACTCGCTGCGGCAGAAGCGCATGGAGCCCGTGTCCTATGAGCAGGCCCTCGTCTGTGCCAAGGAAATTAAGGCTTACAAGTACCTCGAGTGCTCTGCTCTCACGCAAAGAAACCTCAAAAGCGTCTTTGACGAGGCTATTCGGTGAGCAGCCTTGTTGAATCTCGTCCCGCTCTAGGACGCATCCACTGACCAACCCAGTGCCGTCTTGAATCCCCGCCCGATGGCTTCCAACAAGAAGAAGGCCAAGTGCTCCATCCTGTAGACGACAGACTACATCCCGGCGATCCACGGCCTCGACCCCGACTCAAACATATCGTCCGCCACGTTAGACGACCTTTTCCGCCACAATGCGATTTTTTGTGAACTGACTTCACGGGTGCATTTCAACTGCTATTGGAGTCTTTGTGTTATGTTGGGCCTTGCACCGAAATAGACAGACAATCCTTTTTCCAGCGAGATACCAGAAAGGCCTCGACCATCCCAGAGTGCCTTATGACTTTTCTTTTTCCCTCTTTTTTTTCCTTATCTGGCGCATTCTATAGTCTGTGGAGGCTTTTGATTTTTCACAAACTCCTTTTTATTACTTGTTGCCGATTCTTACGCAAATTTATACACAAGGTTCCTTTTTTTTTGGTTTCTGACTGACGGGCTGCTTCGGCGTGCATTGTTTCCGATGGTACGACTGACGGGTCTTGCACAGCCTTGCCTTGCTCACCGACGTCCGCTCTGTTCCAGAACAAGTCTGTGTTACCAATGCCACGGTCAGCTGCTGTGTGAGGCTGCATTAGAGCGGAGGCCCTGAACAAAGCAATGACCCAGCTCATGTCGCCCGCCCGTGTCGGGTTTTTCTCCACCGCTGGCTAGAAGGAGGTTCATGCCACAGCTCGAAGACGACCGTGACAGAGTGGGATAGATGCATGCGAACACATGCTGGCAGGCAGTGGCTTGAATGTATTGATAGATCATGAGCAGATCAATCGATGTCTTTCTATTTCCTGTGCATACACTCTAGGCCAAACATTACATTTAAAAACCAGTCAAAACGTACAAGATTCTTTTGCAGACGCCATGTGATTCCCCAAAACAAATGAATTGCTTTTCTTTATGCCCTGTCCAACGAAACCACGGCTGTCACCACTCATCATCCGTTGGGCATTCACCTATCCATCCAGCCGCTCTCTACCGATTCCGTCCTCCCCGTCCACGGCCGCCGCCTCCACGGCCTCCCCGTCCGCGGCCACCACCACCTCCCCTGCCACGACCGCCCCATCCCCCGCGACGCCCTCCTCCACCGCCTCCACTACCGTTCTGGAAGTTGTCTTCGGGAGGCGCATCGCTGCCCATCTGCGCGCGGCGGCTCGGATGAACCTGCTCGTCCATGTGCTCCTGCTGCTCCTCCATCGTGCCGCTCTCGCCTCCGCCACCTCCGCCAGCGCCGCCGGCGCCGTCGGCGCTGTCGTCACTGTTCTTGGCAGCTTTTTCCTTTTCAATGCGCTTGGCGCGGTTATCGTCGAGCTTGCGGTTCTTTTCGCGAATCTTTTCCGTTCTGTGATCGGATTTGCCGCCTCCGCCAGCACTTGTAATTCTCGCTCCATTAGTCTTTCACATGATGTACAAAATGCGAGAATGAAAATAAAATTAAAAAAAAAAAAGGTGAAAGGAAGAGAGAGAGAGAGAGAGAGAGAGAGAGAGAGAGAGAGAGAGAGAGAGAGAGACGCGAGACGACGACGACGACGACGAC